AATCAATGAATGATAGATTTCTCTTAGAAGAAATTTAAAGGTCCCAGAGAATAAACTACACAGAGAACAATAGCTATTGTATTTATTCAATAGGACAGGTGAACTTGCAAAAGTTTAAATACCTGGTCAAGATAGAGATGGCACTGTGGAAAACTTTCATTGGGTTCGCAATAAAAGCTTTACAGAACTATTTGAGAATGTAAGAGAAGAGGCTCTCAGAGGGAAAATAATGACGTGTATCCGTCAATAATATGTTTTTAATTTAAAACCATGCTATTTACACATCCAATACTTAAGTAATGTCTAAAAGTGCCATTACAAATTATTGCATATATGATAGGATTATTTTCACAGCAAGTTTTATAAAAATCAATCACATATGCGGAAAATATCAAGTTAATTTTTTCAGTATTTGTTGTTGTAAAAAAAGCATAAAAAATACAAACGGTGTACATGAAATCTAAAACAATTATTGAAAAATATTAATGTAAAAAAAAAAATATTCGAAAAGATGAAAACTTGTATTTAAAAGAATTACACAAACTATTAAGAAATACTAAACATGTACTGAATATATATACTATGTGGTGAATGTTTTGAACAAATACCTGGTATTGGTAAAAAAAATAGGCAGGGATAATCAGTAATATATGTGTAATTTGGGTTTCAGACAGGGTATATAATGTGGCATTCCCGGCTTAGGGTTTATACGTTGTGAACGATGTAAACAGAAAGGTATAGACTTTATATACAACATAAACACGATGTTGACACGATATTGTCAACATCCGGATGTGTACGATGTGAACGATGTAAACATAAAGGTATAGACTTTGTATACAATATAAACACGATATTGTTAACATTGCGATGTATATGATGTGAATGTGTAAACAGAAAGGTATAGACTCTATATACAACATAAACACGGTGTTGACACAATATTGTTAACATTGCGATGCATACGATGTGAATGATATAAACACAAAGGTACAGACTTGTTACACAACATTAATACGATGTTAACGATGTGAACGATGTTAATACGATATTGTCAAAATCACGATGTATACGATGTGAAAGATTTAAACAGAAAAGGTATAGACTCTATATACAACATAAACACAATGTTGATATGATATTGTCAACATTACGATGTATACGATGTGAACGATGTTAACACTAAAGTTTAGACTTGGTACACAACATTAATACGATGTTGACGATGTGAACGATGTAAACACGATATTGTCAACTTCACGATGTATTCGATGTAAACACAAAGGTATAGACTCGATATACAATATAAACACGATGTTGACACCATATTGTTAACATTGCGATGTATACGATGTGAACGATGTAAACAGAAAGGTATAGACTTTATATATACAACATAAACACGATGTTGTCACGATATTGTCAACATCACAATGTATACGATGTGAACGATGTAAACACAAAAGTACACAACATATACATGTATATAGATATGATACAATGTAAATACAATAATGACACGATAAAGTAGACTTTGCGATGTTGACAATATCGACAAAACATCGTGCACTGGACATCTGTCTTCCCTGGTGTCCTGTGTATAAGTTGATGAATATCAATTTGATTACATGTGTCCCACATGAAAAGTTCTGATTGTCCCACAATATTTCATGAAGTAAAAGATTCTTAAATAAACAAGGTAGCTATTGTTTGTTTTGCTAAATAATCAAGAATAATTATTTCATATTTAAACTATTTATTTCAAATTATTTCATATTCAAACTATTTATTTTTTGTAAACCATCTTTTGATTAAATAATATGACATTTGTGAATTATTTAAATATATCAATAATGTTACGTTTATTTATAAAACAAATATCATTACTGTAATTTTGATTACATTTTTTTCTAAAGTTTTTTAAATAAATTTAGAAATAATGCATGCAATATAAAGACAACTTTAAACTTATTTACAATGTGCTGCGGGCGGGCCACTAAACACGCACTTGTTGACGGGTGATGTTTCCATAAGTCTTTGCACTTTTACCAGGGAAGACAGATGCCATTTACACTTTATCACTACTGAAGACACCCTTACACCCACAGTCAGATTCACATAAACCCAACAAATTGCTTCATTGATAACAAAAGCTGCTATCAAGAATTCTGCCAAGTAATCCTTTCCAGGAATCACAAATTTTTTCACTTTACCCAGTGTATTTAGCGTAAAGTGCAGTCAACAGGACTTGTGACCAACTATAAAGGAGAACAAGATATTCATCAACTTATACACAGGACACCAGTTCTTTTTCGGGTACCATATGCATAAAAAGAAGACGTCTGGTTCCATGCACAAAATTAAAAGACCTGGAATATTGTGTTTCAACAGCAAATACTACTCCGTTTATGGAGCATGTCACAACATACTGGATTGAAAGCAAAATGCACTATGGAACCATTACCAAACCAAAGGATCAATGACGACAAACCCCTCAAAGGATGGCACAGTAACTTGAACAATGTGATCTAAGAACATATACATTGTACACGCTTAAAGAAGAGCAGACGGCAAACGAAGTGACCATCATTCAGTACCTAGGCGGGGGAGTACGAACAAAAAAGAGAAGAAAATACAGGTACAACTCAATCAACACCTACTTTAGAACTCAAAGATTATCTTCAGAATGGGGAAGTTAGTGTTTGTCAGTATGTTAACACGTTGCCTCTCATTTGTTACACTTGGACTAAATTTGTTGCAATTGTATGATGTGTTGTGTTGTGATGTTTATGTTATGTATTGTGTGTGCTTTATTGTTTTACTTATGTATTATGCATGCTTTATTGTTGAACTTATGAATTAAGCTGTTTATTATTTGGGCTTAAAAATCTAAGTGTATTCAGGCAGCTGTTTAGCATGTGTGCTGAATTGCAACTCTTTAGTACACATTAATGGAGAATTGAGTAGTGCTTGATATGTGACATTTTTTGACTTAATATAATATTATATGTTTGATAATACTTCAATTGTACCTATTCTTTACAAAAAAAAAATGTAAGTATTCATGATTATTTGTTCATCTTTATTTCATATTTTATAATACACTGATTATTTACCTGTAACTATACCGGCTACGCATTATAAAAACAAATTAATCACTATCAAAACAATTTCTGATTGTCCCAACATTTAAGCTAATCCCAATTGTCCCACAAAACATATTCTCGATTGTCCCACAAAATTTCATTTCTTTTTTACCAGTAATTTCAAAAAGTGGGACACCCATTAAATTATCCATAGTTTGAGTATGGGCCAATAGACCTTTCTATAATTTTCATATAATTTGTTCCAAAAGTAGTACACTGTACTGTAAAAATTCTTTTTTGAATAGAGCAGGTGCAATTTTTTTAATTAACATTTTTGTCTAAAAGAAATACACTATGAAATAACTGTGTTCTTGGGCCTAAAATTTAAATAGCTCACATCATAATAAACGTGTGAATACTAAGTTAAATTTAGATTGATATGACCACAACTTCCGGGTAAATTACCTTGACCAAAACCTGATATGGACAGACAAATACACAAACAGGGAAAAAAATTGGCAGGGCATACAAATTTGAGCTTGTTAGATCAAGGCAAGAATCAGGGATAGGAAAACAAAATTAACTTTAAATAATACAAGAGTGCACACGCTGGAATGTCTCGCCTGCTTTACTGACAATTGATTTTATGTTGAAAGTGTTCAAGATAACTAAAAAACGGACCTAATCACTTAATTTAAACCTTGATCACTGATTCATGAAATGAGGTCAAGGTCAGGTGAACCCTGTCTGACGGACATGTAGACGTTGCAAAGAACCCATATACCAAATATAGTTATCTTATTACTCATAACAGGTGAGAAATTCACATGACAAAATAACAATAATTTTTTTTCAAGCAGTAGCTGAACCATCAAAATGAGGTCAATGACAATGGATATATGACCGACGTAAACTTCATAACATAAGGTATCTGCATACAAGGTATGAAGCATTCAGGTCTTCTACCTTTTAATATATAAAGCTTTATACAAATAGTTTACATGAACGCCCATTTAATCAATTTAATTTTTGACCCTCAATTAACAATTACATGTCCACCAATATTAAAATTTATAATTTTGTTTAATAACAAATTTTGGTTGTTGTTCTTCTATTGACGTATATTCCTTTTAATTTACTCTTTCATCTAATGTCCTACCTCCAAGCGTGAATGTAGAATAGAAACATGGTTAATTATGTAGTTAAATCCTTGCCAAAGTTGGGCGTCCATTTGGCTGTGTGGGATGTAAAAGTACGCACTGCCAGTCATGTCCTCGTGTAGGAAGAGATAGATCTACCTTATGTATTTACTTATGTTGACGTTCTGAATGTGCATGAAATATTTGTAACTGGACTATAAGCATTCAACAATGAAGAGTAAATTCATATGTTGCAAATCAAACTTGCAATTATGCTAATATAAACAGCCGGCATTAAACAAACCAATGCTAACAAATTTAGGATTTTTTTCTTAAAACTCTGTTCCTTTTTTAATTTCCAGTTATTGTGCCAAAATACTTCAGCATTTATGTCTTTTGAATACGGCTTTAATTTATTTTATAGGATCTAATCGAAACCCGACATCTTAAATTGTGTCCCCGAGAAATTAATTGCCGTAGACATTATTAACGTCACTGAGAACATAATAGCGCTAAAAGTTTTGAGACGTTCATGCGTCTTTAAAGTGGACATGTTTTGGCAAATAACAATTATCGGACACGTTTGGGGATGTGAAAATGGACATGTTTGGGCGATTTCGGATTTTAAGGACACTTTTGGATGAAATAGACACGTTTGGGGGAATCGGACATGTTTAGGGGGATGGACACGTTTGGGAGTGTTTACATATATAAAATGGCAATTTTTTTTCTTCTGAAATTAGCTTTATATTTGAATTATTTAGTAATATCATACCCTGATTTTTTCTGTATTTTTGGTTCCTGCAATGATAATAAAAATCTTTTGAAATTAAGAAACATTCCAACAGTTATGTATGCAATGTAACATGTAAACAAGCTATACAAATTTACACCATTAGAAGTCCCATATTTCTTAAAAGAGAAAGATGCATTAAGTTTAAAACCTATGTGATTTTTTTCTAAACATATATATATATCTGCATGGAATGAATGGCTTTATAATAAAAAAAAAAAACCTCAACAAAATAACTAAGCGAAACAAAATGTAAACAGTGATCTCTTTCAACTGAAAACAAAATAGGTTTCGTTAAAGTATCTTAAAGGAGTAATTTTATGAAGGCTTAAGTTTGGCCCTAAGATTTTGATGTTTTTTAATCAGGCCAAAATTCTACAAATTCACATAGAAATAGTTGTGATAAAGCTATTAAAACAAACTAACTTCCTTTTGGCACATCACAATTAAAATGATGAAGAAATGAAGTACATTATTTGTGTTGTAAATGTCAGTTTTCGTAAAATTTTCAACAATTCTTAACATTTTCTATCATAATTTACTTTGGCCCCCACCCCTTATCCAGAAAGTTTTTGTGTCTAGGGATTCAATATCACCATTGGCAACTTTTGGCTACAGAAATAATATTTTAGATTTAATTTTTTTGTATTTGTTTTTTATCTTTTATTTGTTTTCCAATAGTCAGGATTTTACACACACCAATACACTACCTCCTAACAAAGGTATCAAGGGGTTAAATATAGAAAATAATTCAGTATACAATATGTATCACTGACTAATTGATTTTTACAATAACATTTTTTAAAGTTACATATAAATTATATATGATTTTATTTGATTACTCTTTCTCAATAATAAACTTTCATGTTTGCGACCAAGAAACACATTCCCTTTGTTGAAAACAAAGTTTACAAAAAAAAGTTTCACAATATTTGAAAAAGACTGCCATAATTGAAAAGTTATTTGGCATTAAAAAATAAACTGCTTCGCTGTGGACACAATATTCAAGCTTGATAACAGGTCTGAATTTTGATTGTAATTAAATATTTGACATATTATAGGTTTCTGAATAAATGTAGTCAACGAACTTGAAATTGGTTATATGAATTGAATTTATATTCAATTAAAGATTTCTTGCTGTTGTGCAATACACTGTGCTGTTGCGCAATACTTAGTAAATCTGTTGTCAGACTATAAACAAATAAAGTTCAATTAATTCTCAATGTCATATTAGAAATTTATGAAAATGTAAAGGGAGCTTACATCAATAGATATAAACAATTCACCAAAGTTTCATGAGAATTGCTGACAGCATTTTTGAGTTATTGTCCGAAAACTGGAAAATCCCCCCTTTTTTAATGAATAAACCCCCATAACTCAGAAATGATAAATGAAAAATTTATAAAATTCTAAATGGAGCTTACATCAATAGATATCAACAATTCACCAAAGTTTCATAAGAACTGCTGAAGTTATTGTCCAAAAACTGGAAAATCCCCCCTTTTTTAATGAATAAAACCCCATAACTCAGAAATGATAAATGAAAAATATATAAAATTCTAAACGGAGCTTACATCAATAGATATAAACATTCCACCAAAGTTTCATAAGAACTGCTGAAAGCTTTTTTGATTTTTTTTCAGAAAATTGGAAAATCCCCCTTTTTTTATAAATAAAACCCTGTAACTCAGAAACGTAAAATCGAAAATATATAAAAATCGAAAGGGAGCTCATGTCAATAGATATAAACAATTCACCACAATTTATTGCAAGTTGGTGAAAGCATTTTTGAGTTAATGTCCGACATGTTGACGACGGACAGACGGACGGACAGACGGACAACAGTATACCATAATACGTCCCATTAACGTGTTCAATGGTTTCTTTTCCAACTTTACAAAAAGTACATAACTTGGTATCTTTTAATTTAATTTGGAAAAAAAAGGTATTATAGTTGCTATAATTCTATGCATTTTGGAAACAAGGTTGTAGCCAAGGGTTTCCTCAAGCTTATAATTGTAGGTCGGAAAAATGCACAAAATCATCATTTTGACAATATATTCAAAATGTGCTGACTTTGAAGCCTAGAATGTACTCTAATGAAGAGACATGTTTAATCAAGAAATAAATGCTTTTGAAGTAGATCCATTTAGAACCAAATTATGGCAATTTTGAAATTTGTATGATAAAGTTGAAATTCAAGGCCATATTTAGCCTAAAGTGAACCTTGTCCTTTAATGCTTCAAAGTGAGGCTTTTGCACAATACATGTTTATCATTATTTAAAACACTTACTGTTTTTTTGGTAGTAAAAATTATTGTTTCATAGCCATCATCCATATCCTCGTCATCTATAGGTCCTGTTGTGTCAAACTCATTAGTTTTACTAGTCTTGTCTATGTCTATTTCGTCATATATGCCAGATGTTTCAAGGTCATCATGTTGTCTGGTTGTGTCCATTTCATCAGTTAAACCTAAATCATTTGGATCTTTGTCTGCCTGATCTAGGGCAACATTAATGTCATCTCCTGGCCCATCTTGTTCAGGTTTTTCAACAAGTGGTAATTTGCTCATTGAGTTTTGAAATTCATCTTTAAGCGTCTTTTGAATGATTTGCCTGAAAACATGATTACAACTGTTAATTGTGCTTCTGATTTTACTGTAACTGAAATCATGCAGGTTCTTTTAATATTCTATTAAACATCTGCCTGTTAACAATAATTGTTGGTCATTTTTCTTTTGTTTGATGTGTTTGAGCTTTTAATTTTGCCCTTTGATAAGCCACTATCCGTTTTGAATTTTCCCTCGAATTTGGTGTTTTTTGTTTCTTTTACTTTTTTGTCATTTGATGACATAAAAAAACAAGAAATGATTGTAACAGGATGCTGTTATGACGTCTCCCAAACAAGATCCCCATATTAAATCATAAACTCCTAAGGACTCGCTCTATTATTCATTCAATTCATCTTGCAGAAATTGTACTGTTTAGGGTGGGGATCTTAACCATTTATATTTCATTTCATTTATCTTTTCATGTCAAACCAGAAAAATATAGTTTAGGGGTGGGGATTGTGATCACTTACAACATATTCAATAGACAGGAGGTGGGGATGACCCCTTGGGACTAACCCTGAATATCATTCAAATCATCTTGGCATATTAAACCAGAATATATATAGTTTTTGGTTGAGGATCTTGACCACTTACAAGATATTTGTTCATATTCAAATGACAGGGGGTGGGAATAACCCTTGGGACTAACCCTGCATATCATTCAAATCATTCTGACTAGACGAACAGAAATATATTTGGTTTCGCGGCAGGGATCTCTATCACTTACAAGATATTTGAATATATTCAAATGACAGGGAGGAGCCTGGGTGGCAGAGTGGTCTAAGTAGTCGAGCTTCTGTATCTCTAGCCTGTCAACACTGAGGTTGTGAGTTCGAATCCCGCATGGGCCAGGTGCAATCGACTCCAATCTTAATTGACTAGGATTGTTAGTTTTCCTACCAATGGTCGGTGGTTCTCTCCCGGTACTTCGGCTTCCTCCCCAATTAAAACTGATCGCCACAAAATAGCACAATAGTGTTGAAAGTGGCTTTAAACACCAATCGATCAATCAATCAATCATATGACAGGGGGTGGGGATAACCCCTGGGGACTTGTCCTGTATATCAATCAAGTTATTTTGACATAAAGAACAGGAATATATGATTTAGGGGTGGGGATTTTGACCACTAACAAGATATTTGAACATTATATAAATAACACATAGCTGAGAGGGTGATAGAGCAGATTGTTACCCCGAGGCTTCGCCACGGTTGACAATGCTTTTTCGAGGGGTACCAATCTGCTCTATCACCCTCTCAGCTATGTGTTATTTAATTTATTATACTGAATGTCCTATCATTATTGTCTTTTACAGAATAATTTTATTTTAAAAGTATTTTCTATGACGTCACGTACATAACAACGTTACGGGTATTACAAAAAACAACAAAAGTGAGGCAAGATGTTTTATTTTTTTATTTTGACAGTCTAATAATAAAATCTGAGCCAAAACGTAGAACTTAAGCATTGTATTTAATTACTTGATGTAAATTCAATTCATTGTCCTTTAAATTATCGATTTTTGATTGGTCTGGGCGAGAGGGTGACATTAAAAAAAAATTGTCACCCACTCATCCATGTGATAGAGTACATTAACACCCTCATATTAGCCAATCAAAAAATGGCATTTTAACGTGAAGTATAATAAATTCAAATGACAGGGGATGGGGATGACCAATTGGATATAACCCTGTATATCATTCAAATCATTTTGACATGACAAACAGGAATATATATATGGTTTAGGGGTGGGGATCTCAACCATTTACAAGATAAAAGAACATTCTCAAATGGAAGAGGGTGGGGTGACCCCTGGGTACTAACCCTATATTTCATTCTCAAATTTTATCAAAATTTTTGTGTAAATTAAAAAGTAATGTTTAAGGGCAAAGGTCAATTACCTTTAACCTTAAAGTAGGCCATATGATCTTATGATTATTACTGAAGACCCCATGTTTCTATCACTAACAACTCTCAAGTTTGAAAATAAAATTTTTAAAAATCCCATAGTGTTCTATAGTAAACCCCTCCCTTCTTTTGGCCCTTCAAAGAACCCCTTAAGGATGTACTTCAGTGAAATTATAAAAATCTAGAATTTAAAATTGATACTATAAGTCAAAAGAGCGGTAGTTAAGGAACAAAATAAGCTAAAAGTATTGATAGGTTATGGAACTCCTTTTTGAGAAAAGGCTGACTTGGACTTTTACCTTATATTTAGCATTGGCATTATTTGGGTCCCAGAAAAAACCCAAGGAGTCGGAACATCTGACAAAAATTCCTAAAACTGACCTGACAATATACTCAATAGACCCGAATGCACAAACAAAACCCTGATTTCACCACAAGACATGTTAGTCTAACATATTGTGGAACCCGAAGTAAATTCGACGAATGGTTTTGGAGAACTGCAGCAGACAAATTCAAGTTTGAAAACTCTGTGGAAGAGGAAGAATAACTGAGCAAAACCAATGTCTCCGAACTTTGTTTGGGAGACTTAAAAATATCACTCTAAAATTGCACCAAAAAAATTGCCACTGGATGTTAGGCAATGAAAATTCCATGCAGCAGCATACCATGCATATTTTCTATGGAGGATATAAAGTTATATAATAAAACAAGGAATGTGTCCATAGTACACAGATGCCCCACTGGCACTATCATTTTCTATGTTCAGTGGACCGCAAAATTGGGGTCAAAACTCTAATTTGGCATAAAAATTAGAAAGATCGTATCATAGGGAACATGTGTACTAAGTTTAAAGTCAATTGGACTTCAACTTCATCAAAAACTATACCTTGACCAAAAACTTTAACCTAAAGCGGGACAGACGGAAAAACAGACGGATGGACGGACGAATGAACAGACGCACAGACCGAAAATCGTAATGCCCCACTACTATCGTAGGTGGGGCATAAAAATGAATAAAAGAATTGTGGGTTATTTAATGTCACAAACAATATTTATCATAAAATATACACATTAAACAAATGCTACATAAGAAATCTATCATTTTGTTTGGCAAATAACAATCACATGATTTAAAGTGATGTTTTATGTCCTAATAAAACACATTTATGACTACACATGCTCTCCATGACAAAATTAATACAATGCATAGGAACATTTAAAAACAACCCAAATCAAAAGCATGATTCACCATCTTATTTAAAATGTAATTATAAGAATTTAATGCTCCTTTTTTAGAACAATATGATTGTGATGACCATTGACAGTATGAATTAAGCTGAGATGCTGAGATTATTATTGCCCATCATACAGTATGTACTCATCTGTCAGTCATACAATATGTACTCATCTGTCAGTCATACAATATGTTCTCATTTGTCAGTCATACAATATGAATTGAAAACTTTTTTAATCTAAGATTGCATGGTTGCAATAAACTGGCAATAAAATAATTATAAAGTTGAAATGATTGAAGAAGTTTAAGAAGTTCACAATTCAAATGATCAGAAACGCACTAGCTTACCCAATAGTGCTAACACGTTGCACATAAGATGCTCACATTAGATCTAACATTAGAAATCAACATGATCGCACATGTCATGAGGTTTTCAACATGCAAATAAGGTGATCATTTTGTGAGCACAAAACATTGCACATATGAAACTATAACCTAATTTGCATCTTCAAAAAACTCACTTGGAAATGCTCTGACAGGTGAGCTTTTGTTTCACGTGTGCATTTTACCAGACTGCATAAGAGCAGCTGCTCACATTTTGCATATGTGAAAATTAGTTGACCCATTTGATTTTGTTATCTAATTATCTCCAGATGATGATCATCAGATTCAACTGTGCCTGAAGGTCAAAACAATACGACTGCTTAAAGAATAGGATAAATTTCAAAATTTTAAATGAAGATCTTGAACAGTCATATGTAAATAAAATAATGTATACTATACTTTTAATTAATTAACACAGCATGTTATCTATTATTCTTTATTACTGCATGAGTTTTGATTTTTATATGTTTTGCTTGTTATTAAAAAAAAAATGACTGAAAATATTACATTACATTATGAAATTATATAGCTTGTGTAGTCACTTTTAAGTACATGATGATTGTCTTTTATAGTGCTGTATTTCAGAATGTTTTATAAAACAGGATTTATCTACATAGTACTTTAATATTTGAAGCACATATTTCAACAAAAGACTTAAAATTGTAATAAATTTGATAATCTAAAAACAAAAACAACAAGTGAATCTTTGAGCTACTGCTCACTAATGATACCCCCGCCCTGCTAAAAGTATAAGGTCAACAGGAAGTTTTTGAGTGATGAATCTATAAAACGCATCACACAGTATAGCTGACTCATATAAACCCTGAAACCAAATTTCAGAAATTCTTGTTATGTAGTTCCTGAGAAAGATGCGACGAAAAATATTCATGGGACGGAAGGACTGACGGATGGACAGACAGAGGTAAAACAGTATAAACTTTTTTAAAGCGGGGGTATAAAAATGAAATAGAAATGATAGATTTTTTTGGGCATATATGAACTACCAAACAGCATATATGAGCCATATAATTTGCATACCATTCTTACTGATGCATCTTATGTGATTCACATATGCAACTTCATGTGCTTTTGTTAGCAATTTCTCTACCAGATTAATTAAATTTAATTTTAATTTGTGCCAGACAGCCACCTCCTTTACGTCTGACAACAATATCAACAACTCAAAATTCAATATATTACTGTACTTTAAAATCAAAGAACTTTTTGCAAGAATAGTCATGTTCAGAAACAAAACTTGAACAAAGTCAGTTAAGGATTTTAGTGAATAAAAAAATGTCTACTTTTATCAAATTTTGACCATGAAGTTTTGTTGAAATTTTTAAAATATACTATAATTGTCTATATTTTAACTCAATAGAGCTATTTTAATAATTTTAGTACTTTCATTTATAGACAAACAAGAAATTAGGGTAACTGCTAATAAACCAGTATTGAGAAAAAGGATAAATCAAATTATCTCCCTTGAATAAATTGAAGACACATAATTGTAAGATATCATTTCTTTAAACAGGGTGGGAAATATTTCAAATATAATATAAAATAGTGAGGAATTTAAACATATCATATGTAAGAAGTCAAACTTGAAGATGTAAAAGCACTACCTAACTAAAGAGCCAGGTGAGTGTGTTGCTTGGACACCTAGGTCTATGCATGTGCATCAACAATGGACACTTTCCAACATTGTAAAATTAGGAATGGAAATGGGGAATGTGTCAAATTGACAACAACCCAACAGAAGAGCAGAAAAGAGCCCAAGGCCACCAATAGGGCTTGAACACAGCAAGAAAATCCAGCACCCGGAGGTGGGCTTCAGCTGGCCCCTATTAAAACAAAAATGTGTACTGGTTCAGTGAAAATGGACGTCATACTAAACTCCAAAACATATAAATGAACTAAAATTAAAAAAGATACAAGACTAACAAAGACCTGAGAGGCTCCTGACTTGGGACAGTCGCAAAAATGCGGCGGGGTTAAACATGTTTTGTGAGATCTCAACTAGAAAAAAGTATTTATGACCAAAATCTCTATTCTGTTGATCTTTAATTGCTGATCATTTTTTCTGTTACACTTTCTTTCAATTTTTTTACTTTTTGCCCAATACACCAAAAAGGGTACAGAAAAATCATCATTTAAGGGTTATCACTCCTATAAAGAGTCTATTAACGATTTCAGCAAAATTTGACTCATTTGTAGATCTTGTCTTGCTGATCATTTTTGTTACTTAAAGTGTCTATCTATCTTTTACAATTTCAAGATAAAAGGAAAAAAATGCAAAAAATTGGTATAAATCATCATTTAAAGAAGAAAAACTCCAATAAGGAGTTGACTGACGATTTCGGCCATGTTCACAAGTTTAATTGTAGATCTTGTCTTGCTGATCATTTTACTATTTAAAGTGTCAAGCTATCTTTTATAGTTTTTAAGATAGTAGGCATAAACACTAAAAATTGGTAAAATTCTCCAAGAAAGAGCAATTAGTCCAATACAGAGTTGACTGATAACTTATTTGAAGATCTCGTCTTGCTGATCATTTTGGCTTTTCAAAATTTCTATCTTTCTATTATAGTTTTAAAGTTATACAACTAGAGGGTCTTTAGAGCCTGTGTCGCTCACCTTGGTCTATGTGCATATTAAACAAAGGACACAGATGGATTCATGACAAAATTGTGTTTTGGTGATGGTGATGTGTTTGTAGATCTTACTTTACTGAACATTCTTGCTCCTTACTATTATCTCTATCTATAATGAACTTGGCCCAGTAGTTACAGTGGAAAATATTTTGTAAAAATTTTCAAAAACTTACAAAATTTATGAAAATTGTAAAAAATTGACTATAAAGGGCAATAACTCCTTAAGGGGTCAATTGACAATTTTGGTCATGTGAACTTATTTGTAGATCTAACTTTGCTGTACATTATTGCTGTTTACAGTTTATCTCTATCTATAATAATATTCAAGATAATAACCAAAAGCTGCAAAATTTTCTTAAAATTACTAATTCAGGGGCAGCAACCATACAACGTGTTGCCTGATTGGTCTGAAAATTTCAGGGCAGATAGATCTTGACCTGATGAACAATTTTATCCTCATCAGATTTGCTCTAAATGCTTTGGTTTCAGAGATATAAACCAATAAAATGCTCCGCTGGGGCGCAGCTTGATACGACCGCAGAGGTCGAACCCTGAACAGTTGGGGCAAGTATGGACACAACATTCAAGCTTGATACAGCACTGAATTTGGATTGTAATTAAATATTTGACACAGCATAGGTTTCTCACACAGAATGAAAGTGGTCTAAGAACTTAAAAATTTTTAGTTTACCTATTCAAACCATATCATTATTATTTGCTTTTATATATAAATCAGAAATAACCAATTTAAAATGGAAAATTTTAAAGAAAAAAAAGGAAACCCCCCCTCCCCCCCGATTTTTTGAACCCCCTTATGATTCATCACCCCCAAACTCAATCCCACCTTTCCCTTTGTGGTATGGTACCTTGCAGTACAATTTCAGAGAGATCCATACACTTGAACACAAGTTATTGTCTGGAAACTAGAAAAATGCTTGTTTTTTGGCCCCTTTTTGGCCCCAAATTCCTAAACGTTTAGGGCAATTATCCCAAAACTCAAACCCAGCTTTCCCTTTGTGATATGGAACCTTGCAGTACAATTTCATAAAGATCCATACAATTACACACAAGTTATTGTCATGAAACTAGAAAAATGCTTGTTTTTGGCCCCTTTTTGGCCCCTAATTCCTAAAATTTGGAGGCAATTACCCCCAAAATCAATCCCAGCATTCCCTTTGTGATATGGAACCTTGTGATACAATGTCAGAGAGATCCATACACTTACACACAAGTTATTGTCATGAAACTAGAAAAATGCTTGTTTTTTGCCCCTTTTTGGCCCCTAATTCCTAAACTTTGGAGGCAATTACCCCCAAAATCAATCCCAGCATTCCCTTTGTGATATGGAACCTTGTGGTACAATGTCAGAGAGATCCATACACTTACACACAAGTTATGACTGCAAGTTACAAAAATGCTTATTTTTGGCCCCTTTTTGGCCCCTAATTCCTTAACTGTGGGTACCATAACCCCCAAAATCAATCCCCACCTTCCTTTTGTGGTATTGAACCTTACGGTAAAATTTCATTGAGATCCATTCACTTAAACTAAAGTTAGAGTGCGAAAACTAATGTGTCTTCGGACGACGACGACGCCAACGCCAACGTCATACCAATATACGACCACAAAAATTTTTTTGCGGTCGTATAAAAACTGCATTTTACCCTAAGTACTATTTTTTAGCCATGTCGGCCATCTTGGTTTGCGGGCGGGGTCATGGGACACATTTTATAACTAGATACCCTAATGATGATTGTGGACAAGTTTGGTTTAATTTGTCTTAGTAGTTTCAGAGGAGAAGATTTTTGTAAAAGATTACAAAAATTTACGAAAAATGGTTAAAAATTGACTATAAAGGGCAATAACTTCTTAAGGGGTCAACTGACCATTTTGGTCAAGTTGACTTATTTGTAGATCTTACTTTGCTGAACATTATTGCTGTTTACAGTTTATCTCTATCTATAATAATATTCAAGATAATAACCAAAAACGGCAAAATTTCCTTAAAATTACCAATTCAGGGGAAGCAACCCAACAACGGGTTGTCCGATTCATCTGAAAATTTCAGGGCAGATAGATCTTGACCTGATAAACAATTTTACCCCATGTCAGATTTGCTCAAATGCTTTGGTTTCAGAGATATAAGCCAAAATCTACATTTTACCCCTATGTTCTATTTTTAGCCATGGCGGCCATCTTGGTTGGTTGGCCGGGTCATCGGACACAATTTTTAAACTAGATACCCCAATGATGATTGTGGCCAAGTTTGGTCAAATATGGCCGAGTAGTTTCAGAGGAGAAGATTTTTGTAAAAGTTAACGACGACGGACGATGGACGCCAAGTGATGAGAAAAGCTCACTTGGCCCTGTGGGCCAGGTGAGCTAAAAATGCAAAAATAACGTCATTAAAGAGCAATAACTCCAATATCAAGGAGTCTGACGATTTAGGCCATGTTAACTTATTTGGAGATTTTGTCTCGCTAACCATTTTTGTAGATGAAGCTAGCTCACTTGGCCCTTTGTGCCAGGTGAGTAAAAAAACTAATGTTAAAAGGTGCTTACATTTTTTCTTTTTTCAATGATTTGAGACGATCCACAACTGCAGCAGCTATACATCCAATTAACAATATTGGTACAAATATCAGAAATATTTCCAATCCAAGTAGTTCTACTTCTTGAGGGAAATGTTCTGTATAATAAATATATAAACCAATGAATTTTAAGAAAGTAGTGAGTGAGAAAGGGTTTTATTCCTGGAAAAAAATGTATGGGAGGGTTGGAATCCATAAGACATTTTTTTCTGTGGGAAATAGGGATGGAAGCAAATAAATACAATTGTTTACTTTTTACACATTGTGACTTGGATGGATAGTTGTCATACTGGCACTCATACCACATCTTCTTATTTATAATAACTCTGTTTCAAATGAAAATAAAAATAATGGGTGGTGAGGTTTCAAAAAGCTGTTGCCTAGCTAGCCTCTCCTCCTCACCCTACATTTTCCCCTGGAATCACCCTTAATAGTAAACAACTGTTTACATTTAAAGTATACAGAATTATTACCAACTGTTATGGTATTTAGTGCAAAAGAACAATTGTGCTAACTTGCTTTTATACTTCATTAAAATAAGTAATGTATAATTTCTATATTTTTTCGACATCGAAATATTCCTGCCCATTACAATTGTAATAAGGCAACCCTTAACAAATTCCTGGTTTGATGTTGCCTACACATGCTTTATAGGGTTGGGTAGGTAGGTAGGGATTTTTTTTGTTTTTGTTTGGCCAACAACATAAGTTTCATGTTTTAGACAAGAAAACAACTTTAAGAGCATGAAAAAAACTTTAAAAAAAATTGAAACGATTTGAGTCATACAATTTTTCAGGTAGGCTGCTTTTTAGGTGGGTACGTAGGCAACATCAAACAATTCTAATTTTATGTTTGGCCTAACCTATTTTAACATCATGCCGTATAAGAATGAAAGAATGTAGTACTGTGTATACACCATCTTTACGAACTGCACATGAATATAATCCTGTTTGGTTATCTGATGGCAATAGAGTAAGTTCGCTCACATAACCCTCCCCTGGCATCTGTGATGAAAAAAATAATATATTAAATTGAAGTCGTTCCAGCTGGTACCTGTGATAAAAAAAATACATTCTTTTGAAAACAAATTTAAGATATATTTCTGACATCTCAAAATCTAAAGCCTCTTAAGATGTAATTTTATACAATTTCCGAGGAATATTTTAAAACTAATAAATAAAGAATAATGCTTTAGATGGTCCCATAGAATATTATAATGTTGAAATAGCATATTTTAGCATTTATTTTTACGAAACAAACTTATTAAGTGCAAGTTAGTTTCAAACAGGGTTGATATAGGAAGCACTTACTAGATGATTGCTTGCGGGTGGTTACATTTTCCTAAGAATTTTGTAAGAATTATAAGTAAAATTAAAATTTATTTTAGGGTAGTTGGGGTCTAAAAACAGTGTCTCCAATTGCTCCACATGTGTTTAATTCTAGAACAAGCCCAAGCTACATTTGCCAAAGATCACAATAGGTTTGTGCATAAATCAAATAAAAAATAAACAAACATGGAAATTTTTCTTTCTTTCATCAACCTCAATTTTTTCAGTCATGAATGCCAAGTTCAGTTATGTTAAAAACATTCAAGAGTTATATTTTTGGGGTTCTCTAGTTAAATAAGACTTTCATGCTTATACAGAAAAAATTCCCAATTTCGATTCCATAATCAGTTTAAAAACAATTTGATTCTGTAGGCTGAAACTTTAAGCCTATGGTTTAATACAAAGTTATGTACTCTACAATTTCCTTTATAATGAAACTGGAATCTCTGTTTGGAAACTATGTCTGAAAAGTTCTTAATAATAAAATTGAGAATGGAAATGGGGAATGTGTCAAAGAGACAACAACCCGACCATAGAGCAGACAACAGCCGAAGGCCACCAATGGGTCTTCAATGCAGCGAGAAACTCCCGCACCCGGAGGCGTCCTTCAGCTGGCTCCTAAACAAATATGTATACTAGTTCAGTGATAACGGACGTCATACTAAACTCCAAATTATACACAGGAAACTAAAATTAAAAATGATACAAGACTAACAAAGGCCAGAGGCTCCTGACTTGGGACAGGCGCAAAAATGCAGTGGGGTTAAACATGTTTTTAAATATGTTCCAAAAATATGAAAAATTCACATGTTAACAATACCTAGTGATATTGGTAAAACACAACTTTTGAACAATTGTAACTGAATTTAGAAAAAAAATACCCAGTATCTTTTTTACGTAATTTTTCTGAGAGAGATTTTGATTCCATAATGATACAAAATCTATTTCTTATAAAGGTTTTTTTATTCACTATCTTTAATTGGTAGTATTCTAGATACTTAACTTGTGATTAATTTTCACTAAATTGCTCAAGTCGACGAGAAAATCTTCTTTAAACCATTCCACCATCGAGTTACCACTCTCCTCCTTATAGTCTGTGTAATCACAGCGGAACTTTACTTCACTCTCCTGGTGTTCATATGCAACACTCACACGTTCTATTTAAAAATTGAATCACACTTATAACACAATCCTCTTGTGTAGAAAACTTAATTGTAAATGACAAAAAGCTGCTATTTTAGGACTTGAATTTCAACATAAAAATTAGGAAAAAAAAACCACATAAATGCTTAGATGCATGATTTTTTATTAGTTGTTATTGGCTTTGAACTAGCTGTCAGTATCTGTGAGTACTCGAAGATCTGTACTTAGTGTCTTTTTTGTTGTGGGGATGTATTAATACCCTGCCACTTCCTGTCTGTGTTTTAGTTAGATGTTTTTCTGTTTTGAATCGATCTGATGAGTTAAGCCCTTTTCAACTGATTTTTTAGTTTGTTCTCATGTTGTACTATTGCACCACTGTCCTAGGTTAGAGGGAGGGTTTGGCACCAACAAACAAGTTTAACCCTCAACATTCTGTATGTGTCTGTCCCAATCCCCAAGTCTGTAATTCAGTGGTTGTCGTTTGTTGCTGTATATCATATTTGTTTTTTATTCATTGTTTTGTACATAAATCAGGCCCTTAGTTTTGTCATTTGAATTGTTTTACATTTGTCATTTCTGGCCTTTTATAGATGGCTATGCTGTATGGGTTTTGCTCATTGTTGAAGGCTGTACTGTGACCTATAGTTGTAAACTTCCATATCATTTGGTGTTTGGTGGAGAGTTGTCTCATCGGCAATTGCAATCATACCAAATCGTCTTATTTTTATATTCCCTAAAACTTTGTATTGCCATCTGCATGAAATAGGTAGTTTACTAAGGCTTTTTTGTTGATATGAATTCAACATGATGTCAAATATAAAAAGACAATGTTACTGGTTTTTCCTACTTCTTTGTCTTTTATAGATACTGACTACATGCATATTTTTCATGTCAGGGCCTTTTATAACCGACTATACCGTATGGGTTTTTCTCATTGTTAAAGACCATACAGTTGCTTTTAATTACTTACATCCACTTCATTTGAATTTTAGTGGATAGTTGTCTCATTGGCAATCATACCACATCTCCTTATTTTTATATTTACACAATATAATTGCATTATTATACTCATTTGAATCTGACCCCCTCATAATATCTTGAAACTGAACTGTTTTTTTTTATTTATATTCAAGCTAATTCTGAGACTTAAAAAATTATGAATCAGAATTGTATAAACGTATATATAATATAATATTCAAATATAAAACTGTAACAATGACCGTGAGTTTACACAAAATAAGATAAAATAAAGAATCGAAAACTTAATTTAATGTCAAAACATTTTTTTTTGTTTTTGTTTTATTTTGTATCTATACATCTATGTCTTTTTGAATCTTAGGCTCTTGAGTTTTCCTGATAAAAAGTGCCTGAAATTCAATATTTTTTCGTTTAAATTATAAAATATTTAAGTAACAAAAGCCATTTTTGGTTTTCAGTGCCAGTCTTTGTATGAATCAGGCAATTTAGAAGAATTTCAAAACATAGCCCAAAAAATACCTGCCAACCTAACCATCCTTTTCTGAGTTATAAATGGTAGGTCTTTAATTACTGCTTGTCTGGTAATTTGAGAAAGATCTAGATATAACTTTTGGTAAAAATGATAGCAAATTATGGAGTTAGCTCCCCTTAATTATTAATTTCTTGTGCATTTCGACCAAATTGTATCTTGAAATACCAGAAAAGGAAAAGGAAACAAATGTTATTATTCATGGACCCTTATACATTCTGAACTAAACTAAATGTATACTTGAGTGGGATTTTGTTAGTCATATGTTTTAACCACTGCATGCCTGATTCCCAGACAGATTGGCACTTTCAAAATACATAAATACAAATTAGGGCTGTTCCATAAAAACATACATGGGACCTAGGGAAGGCAACTTAAATTTGCCACTATGGGTGGGTGTGAAATATTGTTGTACAGGTTTAAATGTATGCAGGACTCTAAAATTGCTTCTATGGGTGGTCACTCTGTTTTCAAAGTGCCTTACCTGGTCACCATGCATGTTTTAATGAAACAGCCTTTATATTCATACCTGGATTAGTTAATCCTATAGATGATATGATTCCCATGTCATTTAAGATAGGTTTTGCATGCATTTCAAAAGTCTTATCATTGACTGTTATTTCATGAATGACTCCTTGAAAGCCCTCTTTTATTCCAATGACCATTAAATACATGAAAAGATCTTCTTTTTCACCTCCCCCAATGCAAACTGGAGTAGCTGGGTAATACTCATGTTCAAGAAAAGACACTTGAAATGCACTACCCTCATTGACTCTTAATTCAAGTTTTTGTCCACTAACTAGAAGACTTATGGAATACCATTTATAAATCTGAAAAGATATTTATTCAATAGACTTCTATAAGTATAATGCGAAAGTATTGCCTTTCTGTATTAAGAGGGAAAATAAATAAAGTAATCTAAGTTTCGAAAGTCATTGATATCCTTCAACTTTATATTAAACAAAATACTTAACAATATTGTTATAGAAGGTACTGTAAATTCAGAAATAAATGCATGACCCATTGGTGGCCTTCAGCTGTTGTCTGCTCTATGGTCGGGTTGTTGTCTCTTTGACACATTCCCCATTTCCATTCTCAATTTTATGCATTAGTTAATGTGAATCACTGATTTTCTGATAAAAATGCAAAATTTAATAATGGAATTGCAAAAATTTGGTGAAGGAAAATCACAACTGAAATTATGAATGTGAGATTTTATTATTGCAAACCTAATATAGTTGCATTTTTCGCATTAATAAAAACCATTGCAATAATTTCTGAATTTACAGTATAATATTTGATTTTCTATTATTGCTATTTTCTGAAAGTTTGCTTTGATTTTTTTTGTGATAGTATTTCATAACATGCTTGAGTGATACAGGATTTTCTCAGTCAAGTAGAAAGAGAATATATGATGTCATAAGCCTAGATCATTGGTGTTCCTAGGAAAGCAATGATAAACAGATTATCAATGGTTTTTCAAAGTGGAGCATGTTTCTCGGCTGCATCTCATCTCAGGGCTAAATCTTAACCATGGATGGGTTTACCGGGATTCACGCTTCAGACAGCTGATGATGAGTCCCAGTTTCCCGGGATCGGAATACCTCTTGTACATTTCCCGCTAAAAAAACATTGCAAACACAAGTTATCTTTCTTTGTTTAATACCTGGATGAAAGTGCAAACATGGCGCTTCCGTTTGTTGAAAACCGTGTCAAAATCAAATGAAATTTACGGATTTTACTAGAATTTGAAATAAGGGAACATTTTTTTTGAAAGAATATGGAAGAATTGAAGTCAGACTAATATACTTTTTTGACATTAAATGCCGTTTTATGTACAAAAACACTTGGAATGGACATTGTTCAGTGTAAGGAATTTGTACAACATGGTTAAATTTTTCAAACTTTTGCCGTTTTGGGTTAAAAATTTACGTTTTTGGGTCAAAAAGTTGAATTTCGAGAATTTCATCTATTTAATGCCGAAAATTTGCAAATTTTGATTTTTTATAACGAAAAAAATTATCAAAATATGAACAAAACTGTGAACATGGTGTTAGTGAATAAAATAAAGACAAAAATAACTACAGACAAGTTTTTATTGATATTTAATATGAAGATCTCCCACTCGTGTCATAATAGCAAGGGAAGCCATGATCCTCTCAGAGTAGCTTCTGTCAGAGCGGCTATCGGTGAAAGGGTTAAGGGAACACCTCATACTACTAAAACTCAAATTTAATCATATTTCATGAATTTAAATTTTAATATGTAGATGACAATAAGTTTCATTCATAATATTTTTATATGCATTATCATTTAAGAAGTAATATGTTTATAGATTTGTGACTCTATGATGTGCTTGTCTTATGTAACACATGCCCTTTAAGGTTCATAAAACCTCAACTTTAAATTCATCAGAAGTTTAGTTTACAGAATGTCTTTTGGCTTTTTAAAAAAGTTATTGAATCATATTTATAAACAAATCATGTTTAGAAAACTTACGTTGATATTCAGTATTGTCTCACATTTTTTTGATTGCCCAATTGAAACACACATTTTCATTGTCCCTTTGATAAGTATGATATACACATATGATCCTGCTGTTTTTCCCTTGTTGAAGAATAATACCCCATCAGTTGAAATTGCCAGAAAAACCAGTTCTACTTTTAGAGCTTCATTTGCCTTCACAGGTATTTTGACGAAGGAATTTCCTCTAAACAAAGAATAACCAACTATTCCATTGACAGAGTCTAAAATGACAAAGTGACACATAAATATTCATTTTGGAAGTCTTAAAATAAATGAATAAAAAATAACATTGACAAATGCATGTATAATTTTCCTTCTTTAATGAAAGAACCTTTAGATAGCAAGCTTAGATACCCTTGATATTATAAAGGAGGATTAACCTTACAATGAGGTTTTGCATCAGATTATGCATTTAACAAATTATAATTCTTGTACTCAAGACATTCAGTGACTCATATACAAATAATATCAGTATGCATTTACCACTGTGACAGCTTTCTTGTATTTCAAATGGCTGTTACAGATTTTTTCTAGTAAAATTGGTCAAATTTATATAACTTAAGGCTCTCAAGAGCCTGTGTCGCTCACCTGATTATACTTTGGTATTGGAAATCATGTAAAAATAGATTAAAATAATAACAGATACCCTAATAATATGATTGAGGCCAAATTTGGATTAATATTGGCCCCGTAATTTAATCAAAAATCCTGGTGGCCATCTTGAACAGTAAATCGACAACAAAGTAGCAACACTTCATCAGCACCTCATAAGGAACATTTATGCCATGTTTGTTCTTTGCTCCTCTAAAAGAAGCATTTGTATGTATTTCCCATAGGGTCCTTTGTTAAACTAAGTCCCCCATTGGCAGCCATCTTGGTTGATGGATTTGCTACAAAGTAACAACACTTGGTCAGCACCTCATACGGAACATTCATGCCATGTTTGGTTTCATTCCATTCAGTGGTTCTCTAAAAGAAGACATTTGTATGTATTGTCCTTTGGGTCCTATGTTAAACGAAGTCCCCAGCTGGCGGCCATCTTGGATGATGGATCGCCTACAAAGTTACAACACATTGTCAGCACCTCATAAGGAACATTCATACCATGTTTTATTTCATTTCATTCAGTGGTTCTCTAAAAGAAGACATTTGTATGTATTTCCCATAGGGTCCTATGTTAAACTAAGTCCCCCTCTGGCGGCCATCTTGGATGATAGATCAGCTTCAAAGTAACAAAACTTGGTCAGCACCTCATAAGGAACATTCATGCCATGTTTAGTTTCATTCCAATCAGTGGTTCTCTAAAAGAAGACATTTGTATGTTTTGTCCATAGGGTCCTCTGTTCAACGAAGTCCCCCGCTTGCGGCCATCTTGGATGATGGATCAGCTTCAAAGTAACAACACTTGGTCAGCACCTCATAAGGAACATTCATGCAATGTTTGGTTTCATTCCATTCAGTGGTTCTCTAAAAGAAGACATTTGTATGTATTGTCCTTTGGGTCCTGTGTTAAACGTAGTCCCCCGCTGGCGGCCATCTAGGACGATTGATCTCCTACAAAGTTACAACACTTGGTCAGTACCTCTTAAGGAACATTCATGCCATGTTTTGTTTCATTCCATTGAGAGGTTCTCTAAAAGAAGACATTTGTATGTATTTCCCATAGGGTCCTATGTTAAACTAAGTCCCCCTCTTGACGCCATCTTGGATGATGGATCGGCTTCAAAGTAACAACACTTGGTCAACACCTCCTAAGGAACATTCATGCCATGTTTGGTTTCATTCCATTCAGTGGTTCTCTAAAAGTAGACATTTGTATGTATTGTCCATAGGGTCCTATGTGAAACGAATTATTTTGGCAATAAACAAATCATCTGAACTTATTTTACTTTAAACTTCCATGTCTCATTTTCTTTCCTTTTTTTTCACATAATTGAGTTTACACATTAAAATCATGACAAAACAATAACAATTTTTAACAACTTTCAGCATGACAACAAGATCACTGATCTATACAATTTTCTTACAAGTTAGAAATGAAGGACATTCTACTAATTACGCTCCTTGGCTCTTCGAGGATGTTACTATAGCATTCATTTCCCGATGTACAACGAGGCATCTCATTTAAAAGAGGTCAAAATCCTTGACCTATGGGTATGACGTAGCTATACCTAGCTATAAATACTGCGGCTATTACCTGTGCCAATCATATTATTTTTCAAGCAGCGAGGTGTCTAACTCGTTATAATCTGTGACGACGTCCGGAATTTTAAGATTTTGTAAAACTGAGAACGTTGTTCCAGTAAAAAATGTTTTATAAACATTAGTTATCTTGAGAACTTATTATCCAAGTTCGTTAAATACAATGAATTTTTTCGTTGTTCGTTTTTCTAATCCTTGTTCTAAAAATACACGTGTACTGTGGTGTGTAACACACAGGTGCTTATCACGTAATCGATGGTGGCTTTTTAATAATTTTGACATGTTTTCGTCTAAATAAATTGATACATTATCGTAGTTATTTTAATACTAATAAATCTAGTATACAGAAGTATATGAGTAGAATGTCTTAAATTTCTTTATTTTCAAGGTAAGTGCAAAATGTACGAAGGTGTACTCGTACATTCTTGCTAAATAATGTACCCACGTAGTGACGTACAATTTATAGAAAATGTAGCAAATATATTTGAGATTTTATTATCACAAAATGTTGTGATTAAAAAACATTTCTTATTCCAATATAAGAAACTGTAAAGGAATATGCTAGACTACTTGTCGATATGTACACCTGTATGTGTGTTACTATAAATAGACAAAGTTAGTGATAATACGGAAGGCATTATGTGCCACTTCCAATCTAAGGTATCTGTAAACCTTTGCTAAAGATATGTTATATCAAATAATGTTCAAATAGCTAATTTTTAAAAGCTTATTTGTCCAAAGCAATTAATGAGCCTAGAGACTTTTATAAGTCCTTGGTGTGTCATAAATGTGACAACAGTTCAGAATGAACTTACAATATTGTTGAAACTATCAAGAATATGTACAGAATATGTATATCTGTAATATACAAAGCCATTTAAGGCTTCAAAATAAGTTCTTAGTGAGATAATAAAACTGTGTTACAGTTGAAAAATTTACAGAAATAATATTATGTGACTGATAATTAAAATATCTGAATATTGAGAGGCCAGTGGAATATCACGGCAAACATGACCAGAAATAGGTCGAAGGGGGAACATTAGCATTTAATGAATACTGTGAATTCATTTTTTTTCGTGGGTACCAATGTTCGTGGATTAAGGAAAATTTGCATTTTCGTGGATATTTGATTTCGTGGTTTTCCAAAAGTCTGCATATAACCATACAGCAAATTTGCAATTCGTTGAACATTTAAATTCGTGGTTTTCCAGTCTGCACGAAATCCACAAAAATTGGTATCCAACGAATAATAATAAATCCACAGTAGTTCCTTGTAGAGCATTTAACATGCCACTAACAAACAATTGATTAGGTAGAAACATACTGTAGAAAATAATAGTAAAACAATTATTATTGTTTGAAAAATCTGCAACAATGCAGTGTTTAAAAATGCAAACTTTTGTTGCATAATTCTGTACATGAAGTTAATCTCATGTTTTTTACTATGATTTAAGATTTTATATCTTTATCTTGGCAAAAATTAAAGCAGAGGAGCATTGCTCATTGTTAACATGAGTTCTTTGCTTTTGAAAAAGAATAAGTACAATATGATAATAATGTTGCAAATTGTGAGAAGTGTGATGCCAACATATCAAAACATACTAGTTGATATCAAATATTAAAAAAGAAAGATCATAGGATCTTCTGAAAAAATTATATGATTGACCTGCATTGGTCAGATGTAAATTCCTTTTTTCAAGGATAATTTTTATGATGTTGACATAACATGCATAGTGTTACCGACCATGCAAGGGCTGTATAGTCAGTCAAGGTATAAAATTATTTGACACTTGTAAAATGATACATTCATGTACATTCATTACCATATCTTTATAAAAGATATCCTCATATAGTTGAAATAAGACAATAGAGTTTTTCAGTCTTATATTTTGGCATTGTTATAACATTAATTATGAATATAACAAACAAAGCCTTAGAATAGGTAAACAGTTACTCTTTTCTGAAGAAATAGTTCAAAGTTATTGTTCTCATTAATCAGAACACAATTGTAGATCTTGATCTTGTTGTCTACAAGGTATCAGTAATAGTAAACAACTTTTTACTGTAAAATATAGTTTGAGATACAACTATAAAAATTATTTAGATTCTGCCAAGAAAGGAAGATTCTTTCCAAAAGTCCTATTTTGACTTGCAGAAAATATTGTATAAATGTGCTTATTTTGATAAGACAAATTGTGCTTTACAATCTCAGTAATGATACTTGAGATATGATAAGCTATAATATATATTTATTAAATTGCAAATGGTAGCAGCAACGAATGTTAAAAAACTATACAAAACAGGAAGATTTTTCTCTCAACATGCAAATTTTGCTTTGATGTTGCTGAGTGGACATGAAATATCTGACATATTTTCCTTTTTATAAAAGGAATACTATAATGTACATTAGATATGTGCATCACTAATCTTTATGTGACTAAGTGTTGCCTTGTTATAGGCTAAGTCATATCTCTGTAAACAATTGTATATAATGTTTAGGGGACTAATCTCCTACACATTTTTCGTGTCAGATAGCCAATACTGAAGAAAGTAGTATTACATGAATTTATGTAGAATTTATAAAGTTTCTATAATGATAAGCAAATGATAATATTGCATCTATGCATCTGTATTATTGAAATCCTTGATGGAAATGAAAATTGAAAATGTTGATCTTTCTAGACTCCATGAACTTGAATTGCCATATTGATGCTTTTGTATCATCAGTTTATAAGAATTGACATATTCATGGTATGATATATATATATATATATATTATATATCATTTATATATTTTTATGCTCCATCGAGAAATGCAAAGTATTCTATAAAGCATTAGAATTTGCAAAGCAAATTACAAACTTATATTTTGAATATACAGTGCTACACTGAATTTTCAGTTCAGATAGAAATTACTTTTCTTAATTACATGTAGTTATATTGCTCTAAATATAACATAGCCATATATAACATTAGATGTATATATATAGAAAAAATAGTACATGTAAGATGTATCATAAGCATATTGTACAAAGGAGCAGTTTAAGTCTTGACTGATAAAGGTTAATATACAGAAATAGTTATATTCCTTCAATATCCAACATGTGTATGGATATCAGGATGGGTGAAGGTCATTTTCAAATGTTACAGTTTACAATGAAGTATAAACTTTGTAACCCTTCTCCAGTTCTTTTTAAGAAAATTATCAGATTATCAGATGAGTGTGCACAGAACAGTATTACTTAAATCTTAGGATTTTTAAAACATGCTGGATCAAGTTTTAATTCTGGATATATTGATGTATATTAATTCTTATAACATATGATATTAAATAGCTACACTGTTTTTTGTAAATTTGTTTACACTTAATGAAATATCATAACGATGATACTTTTGAAATGATTTACTTCAGAATGGTACATTAGATGCAGTATGTATATGTAGACCTAGTCTGTATGAAGTGTTGTACTTTTAGATTCAATTTATTATCAATACTGTTTGATATATATTTATATTACTCATATACTACATACTCATTGTCATAAACAAACATGGAATGTAAATTTACTGAACCAGACATCAAATACTATATTGCAGTTGGTATATTCCAGATACAAATGAATAAGAAGAAATTTGTAAATATAGTCACTTTATTAAGTGTCCTGAATAAGAACTACAGTAGAGGCTGTTCATCTTTGACATCTACATGTAGTTTTAAATAAGTCAACCTTTACTTAACAGGTGACCTTAGTGTGACAGTAATCACCTATTTATGACTTTTTAATATGACTCAGAGAGGAGTTTTTGATTGCTAAGTTATGTTAAAGTTATGAATATTAACACTATTTGAAGCTTTCGTTGCTTACTTGAGCTTTTGAATCAATTTTTCTGTTCTTACAATATCAAAGACAGACTGAATTGCAAATGTCATGCAAAGAGATAATACTTGTAGAACTTGCAGTGACAGTTTTTAGCTAGTAAATATACTAGATATTTTACCATGGATTAATATTAGATAAATCATGTATACATAATATTGAAAGCTTCAGAATTCTAATGAAAATCTGTATCTGGCTGTGTTTACATCGTTATTTAAACTACTGTCTCCTGAATTTGTCTTCAAATTCTTGTTTTTTCATACACATCTGAACTACAGAGAGTGTCATGTTAGAAGAGTACAAAAATAAGGGCTAAAGAATTAAACACTTTCAAATATTTAAGAAAAGTGTTGCCGAATAATATGTCAGTAGATATTTAGATATACAATTAATGGTTTGTAAGCAAGTATCAGGCAAATGGTATTTTGAAACTTCAAAACTTGTTATATAGATATAGGAAGATGTGGTATGAGTGTTATGCTCTTTATATAGTTAAGAGAATTTGTCTTGAATGTATAGAATAAGTTATTATTCTTGAAAATAGTGAAATTCAGACTACAAAATATATTGAGAGAAATATACATTTTGTTGTGTTTTCATTTTCAAAATTACTTTAAATGTTTTTGAAACTATCTTTTATACCTGGACTAACAACACTGGTACTTTACCTTAATATTTAGATTATATTTATTATTAAGTCAGAGAGATAAGTTAGATTGACTACTATCTTAGTCTCCAGTATATTCTGGACTGATTCAGCAAATTCTGATTTGCTCTCTGTTAGTTGTTCAGGGAGCTACTTGTTTGTGCCAACACTTTGAATATGCTATAGTAACATCCACGAAGAGCCGAGGAGCGTAATTAGTAGAATGGACTCTCATCCAAGTATAACTTGGAATATGAAGGATGAGAGTCATTCTAGTAATGGAGCCTGAGGCTCAAGAGGATGTTACAATTTACCCACCCAGTTTGGAGGGTACTGTTTGCCCATCCCAATTGTTTTGGTTGCACAAACAAACTTTGAATCATGATTGGCACAGGTAATAGCCGCAGTATTTATAGCTAGGTATAGCTACGTCATACCCATAGGTCAAGGATTTTGACCTCTTTTAAATGAGATGCCTCGTTGTACATCAGGAAATGAATGCTATAGTAACATCCTCTTGAGCCTCAGGCTCCATTACTAGAATGACTCTCATCCTTCATATTCCAAGTTATACTTGGATGAGAGTCCATTCTAACGCACCTTTCAATTTAATAATTTTACTTTCTGAAGCATAGATCATACTTGACATTTACATTTATTGATCCGTATTATAATTCTACTTACCTGCTTTAAATATGACATTTGTGTTGTTTTTTGATTTTTTAGGAGAAGTAAATGATCTAGATCTTTCTTTTTCCAATGCATATTCCTTCAAATTCATTCGTAATGATGCTACATCTCCAGAAAATGCTGTAATAATAATTCTGTACTTCAAACAAAATTAAATAAAACTGAAAAAGTAGAGTGCTTGTAAATATTAGTTAGCTGTAAAATTAATGTAATAGAGGGTTGCTGTTTAGGCCAAATAAAAATATATGTGTGGTTCCAGTTACCGTACATTCTGAAAAAAATAGTGTCGGTATTTCAGCATTTTTCTTCCTTTTTTTTTGGATTGTCAAAATCCGGAAAAAAATCATGTGTTCACCAAGTCTGATTCCGGTATTATACATGCCCCTACCAGAAGTTCACCATTTTCTATATGTATGGTTGTAAAAAATAAACAGATATGTTACGTTTTTAGTTAATTTTGTTGCATTCTGTTAAGAATTTGTTGCATTTTTAGCCGAAGTGGATATTTCTTATGGAAATTCAGATGACAAAAGTCTGTGAATTTAATTATTGAAATTCACATTCCACAAAATGGGATTGTTGGAAATTAATTTTTCAGAAATGGAAAAAAAAGTTTAGGTCAGGGGGTTTAAACTAGGATCAGTCGGGTAACTGGAACCACACATATATTTTTATTTGGCCTTACAAGGAAGCTTTCCAACAAGAGTCTCCATATGGTAATGTTGAAGTCATCCCTTCTAAAGTTTTAGTGATGCCATCATGAATTGGATGTCCATTTATTCAATACTTATGCCTCAGAAAACGACCAATATTTTGTTATTGTCATAGCCACTATCTGGTCCTCTTTTCCTTAACTGTGGCATTATCTAACGGGACTTCCACCTAATATTAACAAACAATCCGTAACATGTAGGTGCTGCTAGTGAAACTGCTGAACCTTCCAGAGCATATGAGGTGACACCCAATTTTTGATTTGGTTCATGTTTTCTCAATCTTTAGTTTTTTACCAAATGTTTTGTGAATATGTCTTTTCCACCTTGGTGTTTTTTTGTTTTTTTTATTTATGATTTTTAATTGCTCCCTTGGTACTTTTCACTAAAGCATCATGTCAGACGACAATCATGAAATGATAGTTTGGTTAAAGGTTTTAGAATATCTGTGAAACAGTGTGCCACTTGTCAAGAACACAATAGTTGCTCACATTTGGCTATATCTTGTAAACATTTGTCTAAAGGGTCCATTATTAAATCTTTGATATATATAGATTCTACCACTGCATTGAGTGTGATACAATATATATTTATCCACTCGAGACAGTTAAATTTTCAAATTTAAAACACGAGGCTCGCTGAGCGTTTTAAATATTTAAAATTTAACTTCGAGAGTGGATAAATATCGTATTACACGAGATTTGGTGGTGGAATCTGTTTCTCTAATGATTTTCAAACAATACGCAGGCAAATTTATTCCTTCTTTTCGAATGATCTGCAAAAAGATGTGTTCTTTCTATGTGACGTCATCAGGCATGGTCGCCTTTTTTCATGCCGTCACAATAGGAAATTCAGAGGAAAGCAAGAAAATTCGACGTCATAATCGGATTTTAACCAATGAAGAACTGAGATCAAACGAACCACCCGTGGATTAAATTTTTTTTTTACAATAGGTGCAGAAAGGGATAAATTAAAAAGAATTAGAGAAAGGTATTTTATAGAATAATCTAGATGAATTCAAAAGAAATTTAAATTCAAGATATACTACAGTATTTAAGATGAGCTAGGTTTACTATATATATCTTGATTTATCACTGTTAATATTAAAATGCTGGATGCACACAATCATCTGCTGTGCATGAACTGTATGTTGTTTAGTTAAGAAAACTACAACCTTATAGCTTTATGCCAAAAAACACAATAAAAAACACTTTACTCACATCCAATTCGAGTAAATCCATCAAAGTTGATTTTTATTTTCTTGTCAGCCTCCAGCTTTGTTTCATATTTTTTGCCTTCATCTAATCTAAGAAACATTCGGTCTTCAGATAGATGTAAATATATGTTGTGCCATTTCTTTGCCTAGAATAAAGATATACATATATATATATATATATATATATATGAGCTCTTGATGTCCATGGGTTTTTGTGTTGTTAGGTTCCTGGATACAAGAAATAATAAAGGACTATAAAAGCATGTGATGCAGGTGATTGTTTTGAGGTTCAATAAACAACAAAAAAGGGTGTCAATTTTTTACTCGTGGGGATTTTGTTTAGGATTACTTATAACATTTAAATGCCAGTATTTGTTGGAAACACCATTTCTTTCTTAAAATTCAATACTGGAAGAGATATACCTCACAAAAAAACAATAAAATATATCATTGTAGTGCAAAAGAACAAGGTATTCTCCCATGGACTTGAAGGGTTCATGTTGCTTAATCTTTAGTTGTCTGCTTTGTGGGTTGTGGACTTGTTTGATTCTTTTTTTTTTTGGCTCTTAGCCATGATATATATTTTTTTTTAGCTCATATGGCCCTCAGCCTTTCTCTAAACTTAGTGTATGTCTTTCCTTGTCTGTTGTCCTTTGTCATAATTAACTTTTACAAAAATCTTCTCCTCTGAAACAACTTGATAGATTGGGACCAAAATTGACAACAATCTTCCTGGGGATAATGTGTATTTTCAAAAATGTATATATGATCCCATCTATTATCTTGTAAACTATGTTATACATAAAATGTGACAGGAGCAGCAATGTTCAAAATGTCTAGATCTACCAGGGAATAAGACTTACATTTTCCAACTAGGGGCCCAACCTGCCACAATGTGAAAAACAACATAAACACTTTGGGCATTTTAATAAAAATTTTAGGGGCCCAACCTGCCACAATGTGAAAATTAACATAAACACTATGGGCATTTTAATAAAAATTTTAGGGCCCAACCCAAATTTTAGTAGCATTGGCTACTAGGCCCCTGCTAATCTTTTTCCCTGTCTACCTATTTAGATAAAAATTGTAACATGACTCCTTATGGTAGTTATTGCCCTTAAAAGACCTTTTTTTTAATTTTTGGTTATTATGTTGAAATCTATAATAGATAAAGAGAAAGTGAAAATGGCAAAACATAGTCATTGCATTCCTTAAAGGAGTGATCTCCCTTGAATGACAATTTTTACCCATTGTTGTGGTTTTTTTGCCAAAGCTAATTTTAATAAGATAGAGAGAAACTGTTAATAACCAATATGACATTATGTTCGGTAGACATAGATCTACCATCAAGTCAAACATATGGAAATCATCAGTCTATACTTAGTCTAATAGAAGTTACACCCTGCACATACCGTGGAATGTAGATTTTTATCTAAATATGTCCGTTTTTTTTTTGTTTAGTTGTTGCTGAAACTGTAGTTAATAGAGAGAAACTGTAGTAGTAAACATAAAAATGTTCTGTAGGACAAGATCTACAAAAAAGTCTACATGGCCTTAATTGTCAATCTACTTCGGGGCTTCCAAAAAATATTTGAGCCAGCCAGACATTTTTTGTCTTATCCCCATTTTAATCCCTTAAGACTTAGTAACAAAAGGCAATCATCATATGGTATTCAGTGGGTATCACAATGATTGACATAAAAACGATATTAAACTTGACTTTTGATAAAAATTTGATGTTCTGACGTAAACTGTTAAATTGACAGTGCATCATTCTAAGTGTGCAACATCAGCGCACTAATATCCACCTTAGACTCTTTACTAGTGCAAAATTAAGCTTTCAAACACTTTACTTTTGTTTTTAAAAGGCACATCTTCTCAATACCGGATGTTGACTTGACAATGGTAAAACACTGACCAGAGATGAATACGTAAAATCTGTGCACATTTACAGTAACCAGGTTATACAAGAATGTACCTTCTGGTTGACTTTTACTTCCTGATGTTAAACCTTTGAAGTTTTAACCTTCCGGTGTTAAACTACTGAAGTTGAGGAGTTGCAATAATTACCTGTATAGATTCATCCTCTGTTTTCATCTTCACTATAGTACCGGAACTGTTCATATTGACTAGTACTTTGTTCTCATCAATAATTAGCTCAAGAGAATTCTTACATGTCATCTCATTTTTACATCCATTATATTCATGCTTCAATAAATGTGCTTTCTTGTTACTTGTTGGTTTAAATAACAAAAACAGAGAATAATATCCTGCAGGATAACCTCTTTTTTTATAAAGCAAATATCCATTTTTCAATGACACACCCTTGTGAATGGTAGCTGAAACAGAAATAATATCTAACTATACTGCAAATTCAGAAATTATTGCGTGCATTTATTATTGCGATTTTGTCATTTTAGACTAAAATGTGATTTTAATTTTTGCGATATTGAGAAAAATTCTGTTTTATTCACATAAAAAATTTCAAAATGCGAGTTTAAATTATTGCAATTATAACCCTGTCAAATTTTTCGCAATGATAAAAACATCGCAATAATTTCTGAATTTACAGTATTCTATTTGTGTCTTTTTTTTCAAAGTACTTTTCAATTTGCTTAGAGAAACTAAGTTAGTGGGGGATGGTGGGCACTCAAATTAATTTAATATGGGTGGTTGCATTTTCCTTATAATTTTATAAGAATTATAAGTAAAATGAAATTTTTGTTTATGGGTGGTGTTACAAAGGGTCTTGAAAAGGTGCATCCCACGCTCCCAATGTATTTAATTCTTGAACAGCCCTTATTCAAGTTTTGTATTTTCATATTTGTCATTCTGTTTTAACTTAGGGCTATTCCATTATTGCGAACCCAATGAAAGTTTTCCACAGTGCCATCTCTATCTTGACCAGGTATTTAAACTTTTGCAAGTTCACCTGTCCTATTGAATAGATACAATAGCTATTGTTCTCTGTGTAGTTTATTCTCTGGGACCTTTACATTTCTTCTAAGAGAAATCTATCATTCATTGATTAAATTACCTGAGTAAAAAAAATTCTTATATATAGACAAAAATACTGTTTTTATACTCATTAACTGCGTGTGATGATGTAGTTATTCAATATTAATAATATATTTTCATTCAGTTTAATATAAACATTGATTCAATCATAAAAACTTGATTTCTCACAAAACTTTCAACATTGTTCCTTTTAAAAAAAAATTTGTTTGACATGAATAAGAACTTGAAAATAATGATGTTTCAAATTAAGATCTTCTTAAATGTATTCTATAACTAAACAAAAAAAAATCAAATTTCAATAGGAACATTGATAAAACTTTTGTTAGAAATCAACTTTTTATGATTGAATAAATGTTTATATTAAACTGAATGAAAATATATTATTAATATTGAATAAATACATCAGCACAAGCAATTAATGAGTATAAAAAAAGTATTTTTGTCTATATATAAGAATTTTTTTTTACACAGGTAATTTAATCAATGAATGATAGATTTCTCTTAGAAGAAATTTAAAGGTCCCAGTGAATAAACTACACAGAGAAAAATAGCTATTGTATTCATTCAATAGGACAGGTGAACTTGCAAAAGTTTAAATACCTGGTCAAGATAGAGATGGCACTGTGGAAAACTTTCATTGGGTTCGCAATAAAATGTATGTGGGAGGGTAGGAAGGAACTTTCAAAATATCCCAACAACCAAGAACCATTTTTTAGATCATTTTGCATAATGGTAATAGATGCATATATACTGAAAAAAGACCCATGACCCACATTCAATAATTAAACTTCCCTTCCTACCCTCCCACATACATTTTAATTGAATAGCCCTTAGTGTGTGATATTAAAAGTTAAGGTCAGCCAAAACACTTTATCACCAGATTCAATAAAAAAAAAAAAAAAAAAAGTATCATTATGATATTTAACTCATAAAAAATTGGTCCATTGTTTTCAGAGAAGATTATCTTTGAATAAAAGTCTATGAAAATATCGAAAGACATCAGGTAAAATTAAAGGCTAACTGTGTCCTTTGATCTTGGTTCACTCTGGTTAACATTACTTATGAAAGGTGTGGCTACACGTTATATATCTTCGAATACATGGCATTTAAAAATATGTAGTAGATGAATAATACAAACCTGTGCAAGGCATTTTAAAACAAGTCATAATATCTGATCCCGGTCCAAAACAACTGGTTCCATTATATTTGGGAGCTGGGTAAGTACATGTCCTATCCCTAAAATGGTGTCCTATGCCACATTTGGTAGAACATGATGACCAAGAATTCCAGTTTCCCCAATTACCATTTACTGCAACATAAACATTAAAGCAATTTCTACAAGGAATTAAAACAGATAGTCAAGTTTACTGATGTAATTGTCTATGGATTCATTTATTTTCGTGGGTACCAATTTTCGTGGATTGAAGAAAATTATAGCTTCCCTGGTCTTGCGGTCATAAAAATTTTTAGCACAATCATTGTATTCAGACTTGATAATCAACCAATCAGAGTACTGGATTTGGTGTTTCGAGCACAAAGTTTGTACTCCGAGTACTGAGTATAGTTTTATGACCGAGAGCCCTGATATCTGATATTGTGGTTTTGCCATTGAGTCAGCATACAAGCCTACTAAAAAAATTTGTACTTTGTTGAACATTAAAAATGTGGTTTACAGTTACCCACGAAATTTAGTATCCCACAAATAATAATTTAATTTTGGATGAAACGCGTCTTCTGATTGGCTGACGTTGTTTTGTTTATCAGCTCATAGACATGATTTTGTCATATGACCGTGACATCATCAACGTTTTTTCATGGTTTACTCCGGTTTAAAATGGAATTTAGAATTAACTTATAAGAAATGACTGTAATATTTTTTCTGTCTATTCGAAATAACATAAAAAATGTGGTGCACACTTTAAAATAACCAGCTACGCGGGTTATTCAGTGTGCACCACATTTTTGATGTTATTACTTCATAGACAGAAAAAATATTAGTCATTCCTTAATAATAAATCCTCAGTACAAGATTTTCCACAATTGTAACTGTATATCATCAACAATAAACAATCAGAGCGTGAAGCAGTCTATAACGGTAAAATCTACTGGAAGTCAATGATTTTGCAAGCTCTAGTTTTCCTCCATTATGTAAAAGAATTACACCCACATGTTCTATCTTAAGTCATAGTGGCCATGTTGGTTGGCAGATGGAATTCTGACACATTTTTTTAGCATAATACCCTAAGGATGATTGTGGACATGTTTGGTTCCATTTGGCCAGGTAATTTCAAAGAAAATTTTTGTAAATATAAACGGACAACGGATGTCAAGTTATGAGTAGATCACTTGGTCCTTAAATGGGCCAGGTGAGCTTAGTATAATTAATGAAACAGACAGTTTCCTGATCAATAACAGATTTACATCAATGGAGTTAGAAAACATAATTTTTATTTTTTTTCTGAGACTTTATTGATTATAATTCAGAAAGTTGCAAAAATAATTCAGTCTGATAAGGGCTGTTCCATAAAAACATACATGGGACCCAGCACTTTGAAATCTCTACTATGGGTGGGTGTCAAGTACAGTGGAAATGTAATTGAAATTCTAAATTTGCCTCTATAGGTGGTTACCCCATTAGGAAAGTGCCTTCCCAGGGTACCATGTATGTTTTTATGGAACAGCCCAATAAGATTAAATTCAAAAAAAGTTATTTTATTATTATATAACACAGTTTTTAAATTTACTTTTAAAATTTCCCTTTCTTATTTTTTTGAGGTATGAGAATTTTGTTGTGTTGCTTATAATGTATATACTTGTGAGATTTTTATATGCACTATCGAGTGTGAAACAATATTTATTTTCTCGAGACAGTTAAATTTTGAATATTTAAAATTTAACTGTCCAGAGTGGAGAAATATCGTATTGCACAAGATTTGGTGGTAGAATCAGTTTCTCTAATGGTTTTTAGACAATATGCAGACACACTTAATCCTACGTATTTTCCAATGATCTGCAAAAAGATGTGTTCTTTCTATGTAACGTCATCAGGCATGGTCGTCTTTTTTGTGACATCACAATGGGAAATTCAGAGGAAAGCATGAAAATTTGACGTCATAATTGAATTTGGACCAATGAAGAACTGAAACTGAGATCAAACGAACAAGATGTTGATTAAATAAAAATAATCAACAGGTCAGAAAAAGGATAAAAACAGCTAAGTATTAGAGATATATAAATAACTGTTACTTACTTGGACAAGGCTTAATATTACACCGAGACTTGACTTTAGTATCTGACCTAGAACAAACAATTCGATTCTTTTTTGGCTTAATACATTTCCTAGTGCGTAATTTTTCACCATTACCACAGGACTTGGAGCATCCTGACCAAGTCGACCAGTCACTGTAAGATATCCTTTCATCTGGAATAAAAACAAAGACTTTTATCAAAAATGCTTATTAATTGTTATGTTATGTTTCATACTGTTAATTCAGAAATGAAGGCGTCAAATTATTATTTCAAATCCTTGACCACTGGCAAAAATGCAAAATCTAATTAATGCGATAGCAAAAATGTTATGAAGGAAAATCACTAATGCAAAATTTGAATGCAAGTTTTTATTATTGCAAACCTGATACTGTTGCATTTTTCGTATTAATAAAAACATTGCAATAATTTCTGAATTTACAGTAATTGGTAACACTCAACACTCAATAAACACAAGAAAAAGAAATATATAATGGATGGAATCAATTGTTAAATGTTTGCAGTTTTACAAAAACTAATCATTTCTTTTCAAGACAGCTTCTAAAGAACTGTCAGCCTGTTGACATCGTCAAAGATCTAAGTATGACATTATAAAATTATAATTATTGAAGGAGTGGAACCCAAAGTATGGGATTTATTTATGGATTGAGGAAAAACATAAAAGCCTTTTTGTGGAAAAATGTATATTTTCTGTATACATGATTTCCTGATTTTGCCAGAATCTGTATACAAACAAGCCTTCATGTCAATATACACCTAATTGAACACTTTAATTCATGTTTTACGATTACCTATGAAACTCCATGAAAATTGGTACCCCATGAATAATTTATCCATAGTATTCTTTAAAGCATGCAAAAGTAATAAAAGATTTATAGAGTTCAGGTCACCTGCAGTTAAGGTTAAATTCAAACTGACTTGCCATCACTCTTTATGGATTACTGATAAAATGTTATATGTTTTCTTTTCTTTATGATTCTAATTCTAGTAAAATTACCTGATTTTGTGTTCAAACACGACACAAAACAAACTTTTTTTTTATGTACAAGTAAGTATACCTTATGTCTTGGTCAAATGTCAATTTTAACGTAATTTGTAATGTGGCTTTTGTAATGAATGATGCTCCTTCAAGATATCAGTAAAAAGAGAGAAAAGACGCCAAGGGGGCAACCAAAAATCATATCTCCAATTAAAACAAACAAAACCATTGATGGGCAAAATGAACCTGACAAAAAACTGGGGGTTAAGTCTGGTGCTGATTCACACCGTTTAAAGAGATAAGATGGCTGTTCTTTTGATTGGCAAGTATATAGGACTGTAGTATCTCCAATACCATATTTGACTATTATTTATTTCACAATTCATATCAAAATTTGATAACATACCACACTTTACTGTTTTCTGGCACTGTGTTGTCTCTTCACTTATACCAACACAGGAACCACCAAACATAGCATACGGCTTGTCACATCGTCTGTACCTTGTTCGTATACCATTAAATCCACAGGTAACACTACATACAGTCCAGGTCTCCCATTCACTCCATCCACCCATTACTATATTGAGAAATGTAGCATATTTTGCAGTTATATAAGAGGGTCTAGATTAGTGGCCCTTTATTTCTTTATTCTGTACCATTTTTTTATTTATTTTGGCCATTATTCTCTTTCATTTATATTTCAGCACCCCATAATTCTCTATTCTGAAGGTTTTTTGGCCCATTTTTCTCTACTTTTTGGGTTTTTTTGCCCATAATTCTCTATTCTTTTGGTTTTTTTCCCCATTTTTCTCAATTCTGTATTTTGTTGGCCGTTTATTCTGCACCTTTTGCCCATTTTTCTCTATTCTGTAAACCCCACCCAGACCCTCATATAAGAATAAGGATAAATGATATGATTGCCCATGTGACAATTATCCACATAAGACCAAACGACAAGGATGTAATGGACCAACTCAGAATCCTTTAAATGACAAATCCAATATTTTTTAGATAACACTGAGATTGATTGATTATTGGTTGCTTAATGTCTAGTGGCAAATATTTTATGCATGTTCAGGACGTGAACAAACTAATAATAAACACAATAGGTAGGTCCAGAAATAGAGGCTGTCTGGGGTGAAAGTCAGGGAAATTTGGAATGTCACTGGAAAATGAAGGTATGTTGGATAGGGACAGAAATTTTACCTTTCAACCGTGAGGCCACATACAGACCTGTTAAAACGTTTAAACCCACTGCATTTTTATGCACCTGTCCTAAGTAAGGAGCCTGTTGTTCAGTGGTTGTCGTTTGTTGGTGTGGTTTATAAGTGTTTTTTCCTCGTTTTTTATATAGGTTAGACCGTTGGTTTTCCTGTTTGAATTTTTTTACACTAGTCATTTTTGAGCCTTTTATAGCTTGTTGTTCCGTGTGAGTCAAGGCTCTGTGTTGAAGGCCGTACTTTGACCTATAGTTGTTAACTTTTATACATTGTGACTTGGATTGAGAGTTGTCTAATTGGCACTCAAACCACATCTTCTTATTTATACTGACAGAGTTAACTGAACATGATTGCTAGATTTAAAAAAAATTATTAACCCGTTTTTAGTTATCCTTGGTCTTTAAGCGAGTGGGTTTATCTTTATATCTTTAGTTTACTCTTTTTTTTTCATTTTTCTGTTTGTTTATACAAAAATAAAGAGATGTGGTATGATTGCCAATGAGACAACTATCCACCAAAGTTCAAATAAAGTGGATGTAAGCAATTATAGGCAGCTCTATGGCCTTCAACAATGAGAAAAACCCATACTGTAGTGTTTGCTTTATTTTTTTATTCATTTTGTTTTGCCATCTAAATTTTTGTTTCTTCATCATTTAATCAAAGAGTTAGTCCAACAGTGTTTAAATAGTATTGAAATCATTGCATTTATATCAATTCATAAAAGTATATTCGACTGAAAATGAAAACCTTTTCTACATAAATCAACATTCTTGATTATTGTTTTTGTTTAATGTTACCTAACTTAAACATATCACAACCGATAGCATAAAAGCACTTTGAATATAAAAATTAGAAGATGTGGTGTGATTGCCAACGAGAAAACTCTCCATCAGAAACCAAATGTCATTTTTCATATATATATGTAATTTAATAATTTAGCTGTCAGTAACTGTGAGTACTCTCGGAACTGTACTTAGTGTCTTTTTGTTGTTGGGATGTACAAGTACAGGTCTGTCCACATCCACTCTGTGATTTTGTTAAATGTATTTCTATTTGTATCCATCTGATGAGTTAAGCCTTTTTGAGCTTTTTATAGGTTTGTTCTTATGTTGTACTGTTACACCACTGTCCCAGGCTATGGGAAGGGTTGGCACCTTCAAACTAGTTTAACCCCGCCACATGCTGTACGTGCCTGTCCCAAGTCAGGAACCTGTAATTCAGTGGTTTTTTTTTGTTGCTGTGTAATATACTTGTTTTTCGTTCATTATTTTGTACATAAATTAGGCCGTTAGTTTTCTCGTTTGAATTGTTTTACATTTGTCATTTCAGGGCCTTTTATAGCTGACTATGCGGTATGGGCTTTGCTCAATGTTGAACTGTACGGTGACCTATAGTTGTTAATTTCTGTGTCATTTGGTCTATTGTGGAGAGTTGTCTCATTGGCAATCATACCATATCTACTTTTTAAATTTAAACTTACCTGGGCAATTTACCAAATTGCAGGGTTGTACTTGCCATCTTTCTCCCTTGCATCTTAACCCTGTTATATTCTTACAACCTCTGAATCTTTCTCGAATACCTGTAGCACAAGTCTTTGAACACTTAGTCCAAGTCGACCAAGATGTGTAATAATCCTCTATAAAAGGGTTCATTGGATCAACGTCAGCCTCATCATCAGGTGGTTTATCTCTCTGGAATACCTTAATTATATATATAGACATATTAGTGTACTGTGGGTTCATTGGATCAACGTCAGCCTCATCATCAGGTGGTTTATCTCTCTAGAATACCTTAATTATATATATAGACATATTAGTGTACTGTGGGTTCAATGGATCAACGTCAGCCTCATCATCTGGTGGTTTATCTCTCTCAGTGGAATACCTTAATTATATATATAGACATATTAGTGTACTTGTAACAGTGATTTGATTCCGCCAGTGTACTTTATCCGGAGGAAGAAAATCCCCAGTGATTTTTATCCACCAACAAAAAATCAATAGGGTTTCTATCCGGGTCCAGTGTAAAACATCCACCATTCATTATAAGCTCTAAAAAGGTTTTTTTGAAGGGTAAATATATATAAAATGTGGCTTAATAGTGTATTTAAAAATTGCATAGCTGATTTATGTAAAAAGTGGAGAGTTTTCATCCAAGGAATGTTCACACTAGTGTTTTTGAACCAGGAATGATTACACTAGTGATTTTGTACCAGAATGATTGCACTAGTTATTTTAAGGGACTTATCATTTTTTATCTGGGAAGGGGGGGGGGGGGGGGGCTGGTCAAAATGCAGGGGGGATCAAGTTTTTTTCTGTATGTGGACAAAGGGGGTTCAAATTTTTTTATAAATTCAAAGTGGGGGGATCAATATTTTTTGCACTTGGAAATAAGTAGTTCACATACTTCAAGAGACAAAATGTCAAGAAGAACATTACAACAGTCAAATCGAAATATATTTTTAACACCATTCATATACAATTAAGTAAGACATCACAAGACTTTGGTGATGTAGGAAGCTGCCATTTTGTGTCATTTTGCCCTATATAAAATGCATAGGTGCTTCATAATCCGAATAATTCAGTTGTTATATTTCACTCACGTCGATCACTAAATTAACAAGCATAATGGCCAATATATCTTTTTGTTTTCATTACAAGAGCCCTTTGGGTCCATTTGTACCTCTCACTCCCTCAAAATTTGTACTTTTTAGGCTAAATATCAAAAATTTCAGGTTACTATCACACATTTATGTATGAACTGTCCATATAAAAGTTTAGCGACTCAATGGAGGTTTCAATAAGACCATACGTAAAACTTAGGTTTAAGCAGCATTCAAGAGAGGGACATATAAATAATGTGTTGTTACTGTTTCAAAAAGTTTACTTTTTAATGTATATTTTTTACAGAGTTACTCAGAATCAAGTTTTCTTTAATAGCCCAATATAGGAAATTAGAAAAAAAGTCAAACCAAGCTACTCAAAGCACTGGCTTGCTCTACCTACTAATATTCATGGAACAGGCCTCATGGAAGAGCCCTATTTCAAGGCAATTTTCCCTCAAATAAGTTTTGGGACTCAATCCACTGAGAATATTTCATTTTCAATATTTCCTTGAAATAACATGATAAGTGATTTGCATGTTAAAATTTTGGCATGTTTAATAGAGGGGGGGGGGGGGGGGGGATCACATTTTTTAAATGTTTTTACAGGGGGGATCAAATAAAAATAGTGAAATATTATGGGGGGGGGGGATCAAGAAATTTTGTATGTATGATTTCAAAATGACCAGCCCCCCTCTCAGGTAAAAAATGATAAGTCCCTAAATCCGGCGGGATTAATTACACTAGTGCTTTAGATCCATTCATTGATGAAGTGATTAGTACTCATTTTGAACACACGATAACACAATAGTGCTTATTAACAAATGAGATTTAAATAATTTTTCTATGCAAATCTATAAAATCATATGCTTTTAAATTGTCACTAATTGTAATATTTATATTTATTGGACTGCCGAAGTTTTTCTATGTATTTGCTTTTCGGTCGACTTGGATATTAAATCATATCTTCTATGTTAATATCAAAGGATGCTTCAGTAATTGAAACTTTATGTAAGAACAAATCCGCTCTTAATCAGTGTTCTAGAATTCCCATTTCCCGTCACCCGTGGCAAGTTGATTTAGGTCACGGGAAAGTGGAAATTCAATACTTTGTTGTCCGTGGGCAAGTAAAATCAAATTACAGAAAATTCCTATTCATGCAGATCAAACGGTCGATGAAACAATTGTATTCATTTATTTCAATCAAAGTCTCAAAGCAAGATCGTTGTTGTTGGTGTAAATCATGTAGGGGTTCTAAAGTCTAGGGGAGAGAAACGTGCGCACGTGTTTCATGATCGCTGTCATAAATACGCTTGCTATCTAAGCAAGGGAAATCCGCCATTTCAAGCATTCATCTGATCTAGACTAAAAAAACTAATAACCGGAATGCAAATGGTAACAGATAATATCTGGATCTCAAATTCGTGATTTTTTGCTTGTAATATTATCACTATTTTGTGCCAATACATTTGAATTACTGATGTTATGTCACAAATAGACATGTGTCAAACTAAAATTAATATATTCCATCAAATGTTTTGTATATCTAGATGAACATGACATTGAATTATGACAACACAATCATCATGAGCTAGTTAGACAAACTAATTAATTAAGGTGGTACCCAACACCTTGACTAATATTAATTTGGCTCGTTTAATTTTCATAAAATTTTGACAAAATGTTTACTTTGACCCTTTGACAAAAATATAAAAATTTCAATAAATTTGAACCAACCACTTTATCAGAAAAATTTCGTTGGTTATATAGCAGTTTGACAAACACTAATTTTGATCATTGAGAAGCTATATATTTCCTTAACAATAGAACGTGATTAAAACGTTCATGTGATTTTTGCAGAGTTATCTCCCTGTAGTGTTATGTACCACCTTAATTTCAAAAGAAATAACAGAGTTCATAATTTCAAATTGAACTACATGTATAAACATGCATTGAAAGGAATAACAAAATAATGAAAACATTTTCAAAATAGTATAAAATTAAGGGAAATATAGATTCTTACATTGATACCAGTGGATTATCGGATTTATCCAATCGAGATAGTTAAATTATCAATTTTAAAGTCTGAGCCTTGGCGAGGACTTTAAAATTTATAATTTAACTATCGAGATTGGATAAATCCGATAATTCACGAGTAACTATGTAAGAATCTGTTTCTCTAATGATTAAAAAATACATTTTCATTTTTTGTTGAACCAAAACCCCCTTCGAGTGCCTTCCACATTTCACAAAGTTGTCAATTTCATTAACACCTGTTGGCATATTTTGAGCTGATAAATGTTATGATCCTTAAATTCATCCAATCATCTTCTGAGATCACCGGCAACCACACATTGATTAAATTTTTTTATACAATGAGTGCAGAAAGGTATAAATTGTCAAAGAATTAGAGAAAGTTCATTAAACTTGTGGGAAAGTGAATTTTTTATACAAACTTTCCCGTGGAAAGTTGCAAATGTATAAAAATCCTAGAACACTGTCTTTAAATTTGGTTTGCATCAAGTTCAATGACCTGATCATTGATAAAGTATTTCGAGTTATAAAAATATCCTCCTCATCATCATCAATATTATTTACTAGATTGACTCAGATTAATTAAATTGGTTCCTTGAAAATCATTTTAATTTTAACCCATTTGTTTATGTTAACAATAAACCGGTCTAATATAAACAAAACCACGATATCAAGATCGATGCTTTCACACTATTTACATCCAATATTCTCTAGTGAAAAACAGTTCCCCGGAATAAACACACGGCGGAATGAAATTACGCTTACATACTGTGGGTTAATTATTATTTTCATGGAGTTGGTAGGTAAATGTAAACCCCGAATGTAAATGTTCAACAAATTACAATTTTCTAAAGGCTTGGATGCAGATTTTTGCAATAATGATATGTGTAAGTTGTTAGGAGTAAGACGATTTCATATCTTTAATACTACTGTAGCCAGATTATATTATTCAATTCATGGATCAATAAGGTTAACAACATGAACTGTACAAATTTTACTGCACTGGATGCGCATCATTTTGAAAGAATTAAAGTTTATCATTATTTTAAATATTTCACGAGCATGTAATGATCCGATCAGACCTGCTACCATTAAGAAATACAGGTACATACTCTGCGCAATGCCTTTTTCTTTGCTTCTATTTCCTCACTCTGGAATTTTTGCATAGATGCAGCTGTAAATAATTAAATTATAACAATAATCAAAAATACTCAAAATAGTCTAACCAAGGAAAAATTTACAAATTTGTTTGAAGTTGACTTAGATTCTCTAAAAACAGTAATTTTCCACTCCACCTTCATTTCCCATGCAAACAACAGATTTGTCACATTGGTCATTTTCACTTTATATACTATAAATTCAGAATAATTATGGCAAAACATTGCAACTGGAAAGGTATCACAAAAAAAAAATTCATATTTTAAATTTTGATAACATTATTGGTATGTAGAATTTCTTGAAATCCTAATGATTTATCTTGCATTAATGTGCACATGTTTCTACCATCACATTAATAAATACACGAAAAAATATCTGAATTTACAGCATACAAAACATTCGAACCATGGCAGCTATTCCTTATTTAATGACGGTAATAGATCAAAAACCATCAAATTATAATCTTCAAGCAAGAAATGAAAAATAAAGTTAAATGACATTTGTGTCATACATGGGTCTGACGAGCTGACCCTACAGAATGCTAGAAATCCATTAATTCTTTTAAAACTCATAACTATATCAGGATTATTTTACTATACTTTCTTTTTCATCACATTTTCTGTTTCCAGTTACTGTTGCAAGCATATATGATTTTGTTTGGAGGCATTTGTTATATAAAAAATGACAAACATTCAAGTACTATATAAGGCTCTAAAGAGTAAGTATTTGCCCAGAATACATATATTGCGTAAAATTTGTCATTCAAGGGCAACAACTTCTACTTATAGCACATTTACAATTTCAGCTGTGTTGACTTATTAGTAGATCTTGTCCTGCTGATTATTTCTGCTATTTAAAGTTTCTCTCTATTGATAGTTTTCAGGATAATAAGAATTGTTGGGTCAAGTGTGCTGATATCTTTAATAATTACACTTTACTGCATATTTATTACATTGGTAGCTATGACCTTGATTACCCAGTTAAATATAAATTGATAATTTCACATTTGAATTTACATCAAAACAACTTCTGATTGCCTAGAAAAAGATCTATAGTTGCTTGTATTTTCTACTTTATTTCCATAAAAAAAGAACACTGCCAATATAATAAAAAGTGTAGCTAATAAATAGAATTCAAATATCAAAAAATATTCAACTTGTGACCGAAAAACACTGATATATGCCCTACATGCATTCATGAATTAATTTGTTGTTCAATCATTCACAGAATATATTTTGATATTTGATATTTGAATTTTTCGATAAGTTATTCTATAATTATCAAATCTGTCAACATGCAAGGTTGATTGATATTCTTTATATATAAATCACATCCATGTTCAGTTACACAAGGATCAAGTAAAGTTGTCTCATTTTCATATTTGTGACTAGTTTTCATTTTTTTACATCTTTTTTTAACAACATGTAAGTTTGCAATTAAAATGCATATCCAATATATATTCAGATCTCATGAAGCTTTTTTTTTTATCTTATACTGCACAGTAAATCACTTTGCTTGTTAATAAACAGTGGTTGAATATTTGTATGAACAGGGAACCAAGCTAAAAGAAAAATTCATAAAGATATCAGCAGAAATGAAAGGCATACTGAGATATGGGCCGATCAAACAAACAGATGCAGTGGTTGTTAACGGACAAAACAACAGATGAGGTTATTAATTTTAAAGTCTTAAATCTTACCTGTGCAGTTACCATTCATCGGGAATCTTTCAACGGTTTTGCCTTTGCAAACGGCTCCATCTACTGGTTTGTCTTCGTTACAGACACGGAATCGCATACTTCTTCCTTTTCCACACACTGCTGATGAATTTGTAAAAGTGGACCACTTTGACCATACACCTTCACCTGTATCAAGCAGATTGACATTTTGAGACACAAGATTTAAGGGCTATTCCATTAAAATGTATGTGGGAGGGTAGGAAGGGAAGTTTAATTATTGAATGTGGGTCATGTGTCTTTTTTCAGTATGCATCTATTACCATTATGCAAAATTATCTAAAAAATGGTTCTTGGTTGTAGGGATATTTTGAAAGTCCCTTCCTACCCTCCCACATAAATTTTAATGGAATAGCCCTAAACATCTACATAACAATAAATGTGAATGTTGTTTTTAGTTTTCATTATGATAATAGTCTATCACATTCTAATATTATCATTAATATAACCAGTTGATCAGTTTTTAGAGGTAAAAGAGTGTTTCAAACTGCAATTGGATAAAACTTTTTTTAGCAATTGGTAGTGTGGTGAAAGGACAAAGCCTTTTAATTAAGCACATTTATAAAATATTTAACTTGCATTTATGTTGTTATTACAAAAATCAGCAAGTAGCCTATGAAATGGCACAGAAAATTGTGCTACGGTAAATCTTTTTTTGTTTAGGAAATATCTCCCTGTTTGGAGGTTATGAAAGTTGACTCCTATGAGATATACAGCTGAATTTTTCATAATGCTTTAGGCTGTGTTAAACAATGTTCTCAAAATATCATTAACTATATAATGTCGTTACACACTTAACAACTGTTTTTTCAGTGTTACCAGTAAATGATTTTCTTCAACAATTTACAGAAAAATTATCCTTACATTAAACTTATAAACCGTTTTACTGTGACTTGACTGTTAGTGTTACTCTCCACCTATTGCAACTTATTCAAAATTCTGACCAAATTGCAATTTGTTTTTAAAAAATCAAACTGTTCAATTGGTCAGAAATTTGAACAAACTGCTGTAGAGAATCACAGTCAAGTTGTGGAGGCGCAAGGTGATAAAATAAAGCATACTTACAATTGTATAAGACTTTAATTCCACTTCAATGTTATTATGAAAAATCAGTCTAACAGTTTGTATAGAAATTTTATTGTTATTGTCATGCTAAAGGTGATAGGTAGTAATTTTGAATTGCTATAAAAATGTCCAAACTAAGCTTTCATACAATTTTTCTTTCAAAAAGTCTTCTATATTCATAAGAATCAGACATGATTTGAATTAAAACATCTTATATTCAGTAAAATATATGTGAAATAACAATACGTTTTTAATTAGTTCCCATGGGAGATAACCTAAAACATTATTCTTTTGAATATAGAAGACTTTTCGAAAGAAAAATTGATTATCTCCAATGGAAACTTCCTATAAAAACGTTTTGTAATTTCACATATATTTTACTGAATATAAAATGTTTTAATTCAAATGATATCTGATTCTTATGAATATTTTTTAAATTATATGTAATAAAAGAAAATCATAGTGTGTAGTGGACAAAAAATTTTATTGGCACTACATGGAAAAAACTAGAGTCTCCGAACATCTGACAAAAGGTAAAAAACAGGAGTAGCAAGCATCCTTAACCCTAGAGGTAGGTGACATATCTAAATCATGTTTATCAAACTCACTTGGGCATGCACCTAAATAACATGGTTTTTCAATTATAATTTTCTGAGTCTTCAATCCATTAGGACACAAATGTGGGTTTAAACATTGTCTTTCTTTTTTGGCTGTTCCATATTTTCCGCATGGTACTGTACATGCATGAAAATTAGACCATGATGACAGAATAGGATTAACTTCACCTGAAAAACAAAACTCTACATAGTGACTTAGAATACAAAATATTGCATGTCTGAACATTGGTTTGTTAACTGCAACTCACAGAAAACAGAAAAGGAGTAAGTTCACAAAGGGTTAAAATATTGGCCCTAAGATTTTGATGTTTTTTAAATCAGGCCAAAATACTACAAATTTCACATAGAACTAGTTGTGGTATTACTATTAATACAAAATAACTTCCTTTTGGCACATCACATTAAAAATGATGAAGTACTGACTCCTATAAGTAGGCATTATTTGTGTTGTAATGTCAGTTTGGATCAAATTTTTAACAATTCTGAACAGTTTTTAGCCTAATTTACTTTGGCCTCCACCCATGATCCAGAAAGTTTTTCTAAAGATTCAATATCATCATTGGCAACTTTTGGAGACAGAACATATTAGATCTTAGGTTGTGGCCAAGGGAATCCTCAAGCTTTTAGGTCCAAAAAATGCACAAAATCATAGTATTTTGACAATATATCCAAAATATGCTGATTTTGAAGCAAAAAATATACTCTTATGAAGATATTTATTTTAACAAAGAAGTAAGGCCTTTGAAATTGATCCATTTTAGAACCAAATTATGGCCATTTTGAAATTTTATGATAAAGTTGAAATTCAAGGCCATATTTGGCCTTAAGTGAACATTGTCCTTTGACTATTTCTAGAGAGATAGGTTTCATCTGACCTTAACCTCATTCTTACAGATTGTTGACTACCCTGTATCAATTCTAATCAGCAGTGACACTTAAACTTCAATCAATATGATATTCAATGTAGGAAAATATACATAAATGAATATTAAAGTACCCAGTAACCCTAAAACATCTAAGACTTTTTTTTTACTGCTCACATATTTCTATGTACACATAGATATGACATGTATGGTTAACTAACATGACTAAGAATGAAAATTGGGGATATGTTTTTTTTAATCCTTCAAAATAAGAATGTCGTACAAATTTATACTACTTCTACCACATAGAATAAGGTGGGAAAAAAAACCTGTTAATTACTAGACTGCCTATCATGTGTAACTGTTAATGTTAATCTTACTAAGTGTTGAGAAATAATGTATAAAACTTACTTTTTTCAGTGCACACCAGCCCAACACATGGCTCTTCTTGGTAGGTTTTACCCAAACATTTGAATCCACCATCTGAAGGAGCAGGATGATCACATTCACGTGATCGGAAGTGGAAACCATCTCCACAATCTGGAGAACACTTTGACCAACTACTCCAGGATGACCATTGGCCATCAACTGCAAAATAATGTTTCATACAAAAAAATCAGATGACACTGTCACAGTGACATACAAAAAAATAAATCGGAAAAAAACCAAACATGTAGAGTTAACTAATTATTGTAATTAAAAAACTCATTACTTTTCCTATCAACACATGCTTGTATAAGTTCAGACATTAAAGGTCCTTAATTTCAGTCAAAAATTCCTCAACTATGTTACCCGCTTCAATAAACAACAATACAAGTTTAAATGTCTATAGGAACTATTAGTATATGATGCAGATCAAAAGATGACAAATATTATTGTATGTTTTAGAACTGAATGTATTTGTATCTTTATCTATTTCACAAGAGCTCCCAAGTCAAAGAGGACAGCAGTTCTTAAGCAGTTTATTAGCATTCACAGTTCTTACTTGACAGCTGTTCTTTAGCAGTTCATTATCATTCACAGTTGACAAATTCAAGGCAATGGTTAATTTGCATATAGGCATTCCAACAGCATTCCATAGTAGTTTCTTAGCAGTTTATTTAGCCTTCACAGTTATTTAGCAGTTATTTTTGATGAAAAATTTAAATGAGATACCCAAAAACTGCTGTCATCTCTGAATATTCATGAGAACTGCTATAATAACAGCTATCAATAATGAATATTCATACAAACTGCTAAGTTGTATATCCTAATATGGTTTTCTAAACTGCTAATAACTGCTATTGAATGCTATCAGATCTGTCAAAAGTTGGAATACAAAGGTTCACATGAATATACAGTGTACAAGATATGAATGCAAAAATAAAATTCTAATATTTTACGGCAAGTCTTGTTGAAATTTCAAAAAGTTGTACCAACTTATATTTGTAATTTGAGCAGTAACTGAGTACTATACCTGGCCTGAGACCCCTTATTAATTATGTCAGTGGCAGAATAATAGGAACAGTTAGAATTATAATTCACTTTAAATATCAGTGCTTATAAACCAAATGTACTACTAATTTCTCTTCTACTATATATATTTTGAACCAAAAGAAAACAGTTATCTCCTCTTTCTCTTTTGAAATTAAACAAACAAAATCTTAATACATGTAATATATTATGTTTCCACTTTCTGAAACAAACTTAAATAACATATATTAACTTCATTAAATGGATTGTTTGGTCAATATTAAACAATCAGCTATTTGTGACCTAGCTTTCCCTAATATTCCATCCCCCTTTTTTCAACTCTGGAATATCATTTTTTTTTGTTTTTTTTTTACAAAATTATACTAAAATATTCATATTTGTTTTTCCAAATAACATCTTGCACTGGTAGTATATGCTAGTATTTTATTACAATCCTATCATCATTTGAATAAACCACAACCCCCCCCCCCCTTTTTTGGGCTTTCTGTATTATTTCTGTTTTCCCTTACACAGATATGTCAAAAATACACATGCACTATCTGTAACTTCAACTTACTGTTCTGCAGGTGTGAGAAATTATTCCATTTAGCTCAAATTAAACTTTATAATTAACAAAATATACAGTTTTTTACTAGCAAGTATTTACACACAGCTTGGAGCCAAAATGCACATTTGAAAATGATCAAATAACCTTCAAATAAAGGTTCACTATCAAGCTGAAAACACAGGCAGATCCAGGCATTTTTATAACAAAGATTAAAACCAAAACTGCTATCAAACTGCTATTAAACTGCTGTCATAACTGTTGTCCAACTGACAAATTGACAACAGTTTAGAAGGTATCCAGACTGCTAAGATGAATGCTAAGGGCTATTCCATTAAAAAGAATGTACCAGGGTCGGACGGCAATTATAAAAAATCCCGTTGGTTGTTGATGTGTTGAAGTGTTTATGGCCAGTGGTCCTTGGTGTTTAGAGAAACTCAGTATTGTTGGTTGTTGGTCTTCTTTGGCAGTCAGTTTTGTAACTGTCGGTTTCATTGTGTTATTTTTCGTTATTTATTATTATTTGTTTTTGCAAGGATTCATATAACCGATTGTTTTTGTCTCCTGCTCATATTGTGATATTTTGGAAAACATAACTGTTCCCGCGACTTACGCAGCGGCAGGCGCAACGTTGTATTCTACCTATGGTACCAGTTCCGGAAGTGCAAGAATTACTTCCCTTTAATGACAAGCACATGACGAACTATGTCAAATTCTAATGAAAGGACCTTCGATTTGAAAGAAAATAAAAATTAACTTTGCCGACCTTTTTAACCATCAGTATGGCCATTTTAAAGCCATATTACTATTGAGATCGTATACCCCTCCTGGGATTTTTCTAGTATTCCACAGGGTCCAAATACTGGACCCATTCCTATTGGCAATGGCAAAACGTTTTTCCCAGTTTTCAATTTGGGACAAAAACTTCCAAACGATCTCAAAATTTATTTTTATCTTTATTATTCATGAAAGCGATGCTCATTTTGTTCAACCGCTACCTTTAAACTGAAAATCGCCAACAAGTAATGTGTAAATACGAGTAAAATTGTATCTGACTGACGGCCCAAGACCACAATTAATGACCCCACTTTTCGTTGTTCACGAATATAGTTCCCTTTAATTAAAGTGTATTTTTTCTTAATTTTTTTTCTTTGCCTTTCTCATCGATTTCTTAGTTTTTATGGGGTGGAAGTGAAAGAAGAGAGGTAAAATAAATTTTTGGATGTTGTATTTAAACTGATTTTGATATGGAAAGAGTGATTAGGCCAAGTGCAAAAAGGTAATATTTACAGTTTTCGGAACATCTCTTGACTTGTCGATAGGGGTATGGCTGTGTAGTGGCTAAATTTGTAAGAGTCATTGGTTCAATCTTTCTGAATTTTGGATATATTTTTGGACTAGTACTATACATTACACACACAAAAGATTTGACAAAAATGCAAGGTGCAATTTTTTTAATGAGACAAAACGTTATAAAGAACTAATAGAGGAATTAATTGTGGTCTGTGGCCTGACAAAAACATCATTTAAGAACAATGGATGCCATAAACCGGAAATGAAGACGATTACAATACCGGATCAGATTCCGGGGTCGGATAAGGGTAATTCCTGGTTTGCCAATCAAATACAATAAAAAAAAAAAAAATTCCAGGCAGGTGACAAAATACATCTATGATGATGAAATATAAACACTAGAATAGAAAACCAAAATATATATGGAAAAGAAAGAAAAAGCATGAAATATTTTATACACAAACTCAAAATAACTTTTAGTTCACAAATTTTCATGTCAAAATCCAATGAAATGTGACAGTAATTTTCTTTATCATTAATAAATATTGATATTACATGTAGATGTTTTTACAGAGTATACATATATCTACAATTCCAAGAGGTAATTTCTTCTCAATTTTGAAGGGCCAGTAAAAAATAAGTTAGATATATTCCAGTAAAAAATGGTTCTTGTATTATCATGAAACGACTTCCTGTTGGTTGGTGTTAAGATACTCAAACTGCTATCAGATGGAATACTAAGAACAGCTGAAAGACTGCTAAAAATATGAAGAACTGGTAAATAACAGCTAATAAACTGCTAATGATAGCAGTTCAGTTTGACTTTGGAGTTTTTGTTTAATCAGATTTTCATTTGGAAACTGTATGAAGTTAAAGAATTTAAGATTTCTTTTTGTTAATTTGATTTCTGTCTTTATATTTTACTATTTTTCCAGATTCACTACGGAACATAATTGGTACTCTTCTATTCAATAAAATATTAGAAATTCTTTTTTGAAATATTCACCTTAGATTTAAGAAAAAATTGTATTTTGTACAAACAATTCTTAAGGTGGTACCATAACACCTCGACTAAAATCAATTTGACTCGTTTAATTTTCATAAAATTTTGACAAAATATTAACTTTGACCCTTTGACAAAAATATAAAAATTTCAAAAAACTTGAATCACACACTTTATCGGAAAAATTTCTTTGGATATATAGCAGTTTGAAAAACAATAATTTTGATCATCGAGGATCTTAATCTTTCCATAACAATAAAACATGATTAAAACATTCAGATGAATTTTACAGAGTTATCTCCCTGTAGTGTTGTGTACCACCTTAACTTCGATCAAGTACAATTTAGTACAGGTTATTTCTTTAATACTACCTGGACATGCTCTCTGGTATTTATAACACTGTAAACTGGCCCAATATTTATCCTGAAAATATAAAGTTATATAATTATACTTCTAAGAAAGAGACCAGAACATTTCTTTTTTTAGGGCTATTCCATTAAAATTATGTGGGAGGGTAGGAAGGGAAGTTTAATTATTGAATGTGGGTCATGGGTCTTTTTTCAGTATGCTTCTATTACCATTATGCAAAATTATCTAAAAAATGGTTCTTGGTTGTAGGGATATTTTGAAAGTCCCTTCCTACCCTCCCACATACATTTTAATGGAATAGCCCTTATTCAAGGTACATCATGACTCAAGTACTGTTTATTCTTAAATTAAGCTGAATATTTCGCATATTAATAATCTAATATCCCTACCAATCCACAAGTTGTTTCTATCATATCACCGGGCGGGCTCTAACCTTCATAGCAGGGACAAGATACATCAAATTATTGTCAAATAATGCATGAATAATGAGTTAACTTTTTTAAACAGTAAAGAGTGCTAACCCCTTTTGATATTATATCAAACCGAACAAGAATATGTGTCCATATGATAGGGCAAGATACCCTGCAGTCAATGTGATCACATTTCTTGGTCAAAATACTAATTTGGAACATTTTAACAGCTAGTTAGCTTAATAATGAAGTTTCAAGATGAAATGACCACAAAATATCCTTAAGTTCCTTAAATCAAAACTTTAACCCATACCTTTTCCTTGTTCAGTGAACCAATGGCTTATTTATATATTAAACAGTTCATTTCATAATCAACATGTGTACTAACATGTAGTTTCAAGTTGATATGAGCACAAACCACCTTAAACCAAAATATTAATCTGATATAGGACAAAATGTAGGACAGACAGATGGACTCACAGATCAAGAAAACTTAGATAAATATAATTGTAAATCAATGAATATTATTAGTTAATGAAAGTAATAATGATACAATGAAA